TCTTGGGATACCAGGAGATCACTATGGCTCCCTTCTCTCTCCCGGGAGAAGTCTATGTGACCCCTTTTTTATGTGCCTGCCTCGGCGTGCTTCCCTAATACTGTACTTGATCACATGAAGAAGCAGAACTCGGCACTGCTAACCGGGGTATCAGTAGTGTGGGAAAGAGAAATCACGCCCCTGTCTAGGCACACAGGGTCTGGGGTTGTTGCCTCTGATGCTCCAGGCTGGGCAGCGGCCATGCAACTCTCAGGAGAGGGTGAGAGGACTGGGGTGATCCTTGGTCCTTGGGTGAAATACCTACAGAAACAGAGGTACAGCAAAACAGGAATGGTGAAGACAGCAGGTTTATGAAGGGGAGGGAGAAGCAAGAGAAAGTAAGACGCACCCTGGAGGGGACAGGCCTGCAAGGGATGAGACACCCTGACACAAAGCCTTGGACTCTTGTGAGGTGGGATGTGGGGAGTTGACCGTGGCCCAAGACCTGGGGGGCGGGCAGGCAGCCATGGCTCTGCTGCGTGGTGCTTGTGCTGCCCCTGCACCTGTGCACTGAGCCATGTTGCCCTTCTGGCTTAACAGCACTAGTGGAGGGTCATCTCAAGGTTAGTGACCCTCAGGGCAGTAGGTGGGCACCCTCAGGGCAGTTGGTGTGCAACTCCATTATGGAGAAGGGAGGTGGGCCCCTTTGTGGGGTGTACTCACTATCTTACCTCTTAATAGTCTTCCAGGGGGGGGTGTTCTTCCATAGCCCACCCACACAAGGTGAGGGGGAGTTGATGTCCTGTGGTGTCACATGCTGGGTAGTGAGTGCCCCTCGGGGCCCCATCACAGCCACGCCACCCTCACCTGCTTCTGCTTCCACTTATCTCTAGCCAACTACCTTTGCTAACTAGATCCACTACTAGAGTTTGGATCTGGAATGTCGCCTAAAGTCCCCTCTGTGGAAGGTGGTCTCAACTCGGTGCTGTCAGGAGGTGGTAGAACTTCGGGAGGTGGGGCCTGGTAGGAGGAATTTGGCTCTCTGGGGGTGCGCCCTTGAAGGAGGAAATTGGGACTCCAGCCCTTTGCTGTCTCTGCCTTTTACTTCCTGGCTGCCCTGTGCCTTTACCCCATGAGCCCACCATGATGGGCCGAGACTCCAAAAGGTGAGCCAAAATAAGCCTCTCCTCCTTACCAGCTGATCATCTCAGTGGTGGAAAGGTGTTCACCTACCCACGCAGAGCCACTGTCCCTGTCACCAATGCCGCTCTGTTCATGAACCTCTGCACAGACACAGCTGTGACATATTTGTCTGCTAATCCAAAATCTGGACCCTTTAGAGGGAGTTACTGTTGCCTACTTCTGTTTCTGTTCAAGAGTCACACTAGCCGGGCCTGGTGGTATGCACCTGTCATCCCAGCGACCCAGGAGGCTGAGGCAGGAGGATCATGAGTTCAAAGCCAGCCTCAGCAAAAAGCCAGGCACTCAGCAACTCAGCGAGACCCAGTCTCTAAATAAAATACAAAAAAGGGCTGGGGATGAGGCTCAGTGGTTGAGTGCCCCTGAGTTCAATCCCTGGCACCAATAAATAAATAAATAAGAGTCACACTACCCTTCCTCTTTGCACATGTCATCATTTTGTGTTTTTGTTGTTGTTGTTGAAAACTGGTTATTTTGGATAATATCTTTTGGAAACTCCACATAATAATTAGGCAGTCCCCCTTGGGCATGTTGTGTTTTATTAGTTTAGCGGCCTGCCTGGCCCAACTCTGTGAAGTCCATCTCCCGCCATGTGCAGCTTCTGACAGCTCTGCTTGGTTTCCCCATAGCTATTATTATTATCATTATTATTTTCGGTACCAGAGATTGAACTCAGGGGCACTGGACCACTAGCCACATCCCCAGCCCTTTTTGTAGTTTACTTAGAGACAGGGTCTCATTGAGTTGCTTAGTACCTCACAGTTGCTGAGGCTGCTTTGAACTTGTGACTCTCCTGAACATGAATGGGGGAAGCTTTGTGGAGTGACTGCTCATGAGAGAGCCATGCCACAGGGGCAGAGATGGCGGGAGAGGGCCACAAGCCAAGGACAGCTGGCACCATGCAGAAATGGAAGAGGCAGGGAAGGTAACATGGACCACTTCACCTTCTGCATGTAGCTCTGAGGCTGATTTTTAAAGGAGACATGTTTTTCTTTTCCTCATCTTCCTTTCCCCCTCCTTAACCTGGGGGCCAGAAACAAGATCACCTTAAGTTATCTGTCCTCCACAGGGAGGAGATGTCCTGGAAGAAATAGAAAGTGACAATCTCCCAAATTAACAAGTGGATGTCAACACAGCACCAGGGTGCACTGTGACCCCGTCAGGGCACACCTGGATGTAGCCTTTGAAGAGCGTCTTCAAAAGCCCTGTTTTCCCTGCTGGGCAGAACCACAGCCTCTGGGCAGGAGCCCCCTGAGTTCCTCCTTTGGTAGCCAAGAAATAAACTTCTTTTTCCTTTTTCTCAAAACTGTGTCCTTGTTATTAAATTGGCGTGAATGGGGGCTGGTGTTGTGGCTCAGTGGTGGAGTGCTCATGCAGCATGTGTGGGGCCCTGGTTCCATCCTCAGCACCACATAAATGGAAAATAAAGACACTGTGTCCACCTAAAGCTAAAAGATAGATATTAAAAAAATAAAATAAAGGGCTGGAGGCCCTGACTCAGCGGTAGAGCGCTTGCCTAGCACGTGCAAGACCCTGGGTTCGATCCTCAGCACCACATATAAATAAATAAATAAAGGTGTGGTGTCCCACTACAACTAAAAAAAATGAATATTAAAAAAATAAATAAATAATGTAGATGGGCAGGAATGGCACTGGGAACAAGGACCGTTCAGGAATGGCTTCTCACTGGAGCGCCCAGAAGAGACCATTCTGCAAAAAAGTCCTTTGTCTCCTAGACTCAACTTTGACATCAGGATTCCAGAACTCTAGGAGAATAAGTCTCTGACGTTTTAAGATTGTGGCGATTTCTATCGCAGGGTGGGGAACATCACCTCAGGGGTTTTCTCTGTCGCCCCAGGAGGGTGCAGTCTGGCTCACAGGGTCTCCCGGACACACAAGGGTGGGTGTGCTTTAACCAGATCCTTGTGGCTTTGAAACTTACATGTCCCCCCCCCACTCTTTTTTTCCCTGACCTTCTCCTCTCTGATCTTTTCCCTAAATTTCTCTCTGATCTTTTTTTTAAAATATTTTTTTAGTTGTTGACAAACCTTTATTTTATTTATTTTTAATGCGGTGTTGAGAATCGAACCCAGTGCCTCACACATGCTGCGCAAGTGCACTTCCATGAGCCACAGCCTCAGCTCCCAGATCTTCTTTTCCCAGATCTTCCCCTTCCTGATCTCTCCTCCCTGATCTCATTTTCTCTGAATCACCTCTATAAAGCCACCCCCGCTCCGTTCCTGCTGATGGGCAGGAGTCCCCTGAGTTTCTCCTTTGATAGCTTTATAAACTTTCTTCTTTCCTTTTTCTCAAAACCAAGTCCTTGTACTGGGTTGGCACCAGGGACCAGGACTGAGCTCTCAGCGACGAGTTCTCTGGCTGCCTGTTCCTGGTCGAGTGCCCTTCCTCTTGGGAGCTCCTGCTCCACACTGAGGTTCCCACTGTCTCTGGAAGTCCTCAGGCACTGCTTCTCCACACAGAGTTTCCAAATGAATCCAGCGTCCCTGTCCCTCATCTCTTACCCTGGTGGCTTCTGGGGCACTGTGTGAGGGTCGTTTCCTCCAGAGTCCTCTTTGCTCCTGCTCCATCAGGAGCTGAGTGGGTGTGGGCCTGTTCTGCTCAGCATGTCCCTCCCGAGTGCAGCAGCCTCTGTCCCACTGACAGCAGGGAAGAGATAAGCCCCAGGTACCTGCTGGCCTGGAACCAAAGCTTCAGATATATTTTTGTTATTGTTTTGGCCCCAGGGCTTGAACCTAGGGGGCTTAACCCCTGAGCCACATCCCCAGTCCTTTTTTAAAAAATTTTTTTAATATTTATTTTTTAGTTCTCGGCGGACACAACATCTTTGTTGGTATGTGGTGCTGAGGATCGAACCCGGGCCGCACGCATGCCAGGTGAGCGCGCTACCGCTTGAGCCACATCCCCAGCACCCCCAGTCCTTTTTTATTTTTTGAGGCAGGGTGTCACTAAGTTGCTTAGGGCCTTGCAAAGTTGCTGAGGCTGACTTTGAACTCATCATCTTCCTGCTTCAGTCTCCCCATGTTAGAAATAAGGAGGTACCACAAGAAATTAAACACGTGCTGGAAAGTGGGTGGGCAGGGCAACCTTTCCTTCTGCAGAAGGGCTGCTATGGGACCTGGCCAGCAAGCACACCTGGGCAGGCAGTCCCCAGTTTATATCTCTAACCAACCACCAGACTTCCTATTCTGGATTACAGGCTGGGCCACTTCACACATCAAGCAGACAAAAAGGAAACAATATGAGATAAATTATCATCACAATATAAGAAATGGCAAAAAAATCAAAGCAGCTCCACAGATTGCATAAAAAAAGAAAGTCCATTATCTGATCTGAAACACAAATCGATTGTCACCCTTGCAGGTGACGAACCTGCCCTGAGAACCTTCTGTCCCCAGGCCCTAGTGTTCAGCTCTGGTGTGGCTCCTTGGTACCTGCTCCCTAGAGGTCCTAGATGGACTCCCTCCCTCAGAGCACCTGCCACTATGTCCGTGTGACAGTGCCATGGCCTGCCACCCCTGCCACAAGCCCAGCCTTTTCTGTCTTTGTCTGTAGCCCCCTCCTCTGCTCCTCCTAATCTGCTCTTTGGCTCACCACTCTGTCAGATGCCAGGCAGCTCCTGCCGTCACTAAACAGGGAACTCTTGCAGCACAGCTCCAATGGCTGCCCTCCCTGACTGACACTGCCCAAGGCCAAGCCCAGCTGCCCAGTTCTTTGTCCTGCATGGACACTAAAAGTGTGTGGCCAGAGGCCCAGTGGGTGGGACAAGTGAGTGTGAACAGGTGGGCTAGGCTGGGACAAAGAAGCTTCCAGCTTCCAGAAGGGCACTTCCTGGAGGAACCCAGAGGCCTGGACCAGGTTGGGCATCCCTGGTCATCCAGGCCACAAGGCCAGAAGCCAGAGGCAGGCGGAGCCCCAGGGCAAGTGGATGCACGGCTGGGCCTTGGCCCTGAAGCTCCGGAATGTGGGGGCAGGGCTGCCCACTGACCTCACAATGGTGGGTCTGCTGTCCCCGGCCAGGCTGCTGGCCGCCGGCCACCTCCCACAACCTGCTGCTGGGCATGTCCCTCCTCAGCAGCTATGAGGGCCTGCGGCAGGAGATCCAGCGGTTGGCACAGGAGAACGAGGAGCTGCGGCGGCTTGTGCAGCTCATCCAGGAGAACCAAGAGCTGAAGTTGGTCCTCAGGAACAGGGGCAGCAGCCTGGGCTTCTGCAGCTCAGGGTTCCTGGCAGAGGTGGCTGCCAGTCCCCGGGTGCCCAGGCGCAGAACCATCAAGTTCAAAGATGCTGAGAGAGGTGAGCAGCTGGCAGACCCACAGACTTCACTCCTTCAGCTCCTGCTGGGATTGAGAAGTCCAGCAAAAGACCTGCCCTTTGGAATGTAACACCTGGGTACAGGTGGCGGGTGGAGGGAAGTGGGCCAGGCCAGGGTGGGAGTGGAATTCCAGTTCTTTCAGGAAGCAAGGAGCAGGTGGCATCCCTGAGAAAGTGACATTGGAGCAGACCTGGAGTGAAGTGGGAGCCAGGCAGCCAGCCAGTTCCAGGCCAAGGAACAGTCTGTACAAAGGTCTCGAGGTAGCAGCCAGCTGGCTGTGAGGCCAATGTTCTGATGCAGAGGGCAGAGAAGACCAGGAGGACCTTGCAGGCCACAGGAAGCCTGAGGACAGACTGTCCCTGGCCCCGTGTTCTCTGGGCTCCCTAAGTTGACAAAGGGCAGGGCAGGGCTATGCAGATGGCAGGCTCTAGACACCTAGTTTGAAAGTTGAAGTCCAGGACTTCTGGCAATTCGAGAAAGAGGATGCAAGAACAACTTGGAAATTCAGCCCAGCTCTGAAAGTAGGGGAGTTGTCCCTGGAATAGGGGGCGATCCTGGGGCCTTGAAGGGAGGGTCTGGCCATTCAGAAGGGTGGACTCGAGTGGGCAGGGGGTGAATGCTGTCAGGCCTGCCACCGTCTTTTGTCCCTGCTGTGGGATGTGGACATTACCAAAGGGAGTAGGTAACTACAGAGCAGAACCACCCAGCATACCAACACTCGGACAGAGATGAAAATGTGGTAAGGCAGGCAGCAAAATACCTCCCAGGGCCAGCAGATGTAGGAGGCTCCCAGGGGGGACCAAGCACTGGGCCTTCAGGCCTTTATTGTTCTGCAGTGGAGTGGGGTCAGGTGAAGGCTGGGAGTGAGCAGAAGTGGGAGATGGACACCTTGAGCAGTGGTATCCCCAGGAGGAGCAGAGCAGCTGGGGTGCTGCAGGGACAGAGCCCTTAGAGGACGAATTTGTGAGCTGACAGGAGTCAGCCCCTGGGGTGAAAACAGAAGAGAAGGTGCAGCTGAGGTGACACTTATTAGAAAGTGAGAGGGCTTGGAGGGCAGAACCCAGGTAGGCTTGAGTGCAAACATCAGGTAGAGATAGGTGTGGGTGGGGTTTTATTCTCTTTTGATAGATCCTGGACTGAGTTCGGAGGCAGAGACGGTGTTGGGGGGGCGGTGGAAATGAGAAGGTAGACAGTCCCTCGGGGCTTTTGGGGGTGGGCAGAATGATTGTAATGGGAGGCCACCTCGAGGCTCAGGCTTGCGTGGGGGGTCCTGGACTGAAGTGGGACCACTGATTGCTTCCCACAGCTGTTCTGCATACGAGGGGGTGGGCTCCTACATCTTGATGGTGCTATGATGGTCTAGACCCCAGGCTGGGTACAGTGGGCTAGGAGTTTGGCAGTAGCCCCGTGGTGGGGGAGGGGATACCTGCCACTTGGTGGGCAGTCATCTGGATGAGGCCAGCAGCCTCCATGGGGATTGGGTCCTAGGCACCTGCTGCAGGGTCCAATCCCTGTCTTTTGGGGAGCTGGTGACCACCTTGCTTGACCCAAGAAGGGCTGGGGTAGCCACATTCAGTGAAAGGGGGCCCAGGATGAGATAGGTCACATGAGCAGCTCACAGTGTGTGTGGGGGGCAAGGTTAGAGGGCATGAGGTGGAGTAAGATGTCACAGTATTGCTCTGCGGCTGTCTTTCTTGTGGCGACCTGGACAAGAGAGTAGATTCAGTTCCTTCTAAACCATGTCTGTTTCTGTCCCAGGTCTTCCCTTTACCCCCTCACACAGATGAGGGCACCAGTCAATGAAGGGTCTATTGCAGCCTGGGGTGCAGCCCAGATCCTGGTGTGCCCATGCACACCCCAACCACCTCTGTCCTGGCCTCTCAGGCCCAAGCAGGCTTTGGGGGTCAGCAGGGCTCACAGGGGTGCAGGGGCTGGGGTGTGCCTCCAGCTGGCCTGTCTGCTTGGCACACTGGGGAGGCCCATGGGTTCAGCTGACCTCTGGGGCCACCATCATAGGGCAGCATCATTCACCTCACTGACCATTCTGCCTGCCTTGCATGGAGCTCCAGGCTCCTCCACTCCAGCTGTCATGCGCCCTCTGAGGGTGCTTTCTGGTGCTGGTCTGGAGTCTAGGCTCTGCCCTGCTTGCAGATGCCTGCTCCCACCCACCTCCAGCCAGGCCTACACAGTGGAGGCTGCTTTGAATCTGCCTCAACAAGTCTAGGAATGCAGGTGCAGTAGTACTGGCTCCCCACCCCAGGCCCTGCGTTCTTGGGGCTTAGACCACACCAGAGTAATAGCAAAGAACCAACGTAGGAAACCAGTCCTGACCTCTTTCTGCCCTCTTCCTCTGTGGTTTTCTCTGCCTGGGAGCCTCCTCCACTCTTCTACCATCCCTCCACGGGTTGTGCCAACTGCACCCTGGACATAGGTATCTTTTGCCCATGGGGGAACCACCTAGTCCTCACCATGAAAGCTACCTGGCCAAGGCGTGGGGGAGGTCAGCTCAGGTGGAAAGCTGGGTGGGGACAGGGTCTCATCCCAGGAGGGAGTGTCTACTCCAGGTGTACTGGGGTCTCCTGGTCTCCTCTGCGCTGTGGGGTTGGTCGTGGGGGTGTGCACACGGGGGGTGAGGGCGTTCCTGGCGGAGTCCCCTTTATCCCTCTCTCCTGCCCACTCTTACTTTCACTAGCCCCACTCCCGGGCCGCCTGCACTAGGACACAGAGCAAATCCGGGTTATTGATTCTCTGGGGCAACCGGATTCCCTTGCTCTGAGTGGGTGCCGTGGGCGTCCACATGTCGCGAGCCCAAGGCCTGCGTGGGAGTCTGGCGATCAGCAGAGTACAGGTGACCTTGAATCGCAGCGCCGGGTCCGCCCCCGGCCGCAATTGGCCACTTCTCCCTGCAGTCCCAGGGGTTACTCGGGAAAGGAAGGAGGCGCTGTGGACAGGACAGGCCCGAAGCCACCGCCAGGGGCGGGCCAGGCCTCGTCGTGCGCCGGGCGCGGGAGGGCGGCTCCGGGACGGTCTCCGCAGGCCCCGCCCCGAGGTGGGGGCAGGGCAGGCGGGGAGCACAACTGGAGAAGATCGCGGGGCGACTCGGAGCCGACTAGCCAGGTGGGCTCTTCACGGGGGGTCCTAAACCTTCTCTGAGGCCGCCTTCCTTCCTTCCCTATCAGGGCTCCGCTCCACTTCTCATCTTCTGGGCCTTGGCCCGGTCCTGATATTGCACGGGTTGTGCCTGGTCCTGTGGCCAGAAGGCCTTGGGAGGCAAGGCTCCTCTCACCTGTCTACCCCAGCCCTGTTGCCGCTCATGCCAAAAGCCAAGGGCTTCAGAATGCCCTCCGTGCTACCTCCATGTCGGCTCCAGGCCCTGGGTTTCTTTGGCAATCAGGGCATTGAGACCCTGGCAATGGGGGCAGTGGGCTGGCCCCCAGGCACTGCCAGGTTAGGGCTCAGCTCAGGCTGCCCTGTGAGCTGGGGCCTGTAGCTCTGACCCTGCCCAGTGTCGTGGGTCATTTCCCCAGGGCTCCATCTGGACTTGGAATCTACTCCCTCTTTCCACTCAGAGCCTCACCCATGCATGACTCCCAGGCCTCGCTGCTGATGGCTACCTCTGTCCAGTTCTCCCAGGGTTACCATCTGAAGAGCAACTGCTGGACTCCAGCCGCACCATCATGGGGAGCCCTGAGGGGCGCTTCCACTTTGCCATTGACCGCGGGGGCACCTTTACAGATGTCTTTGCCCAGTGCCCAGGAGGGCATGTGCGGGTCCTGAAACTGCTCTCTGAGGACCCTGCCAACTATGCAGACGCACCAACGGAGGGCATCCGCCGCATCCTGGAGGAGGTGGGCCCTGGGAGAACAGGTGGGGTGGGGAGGGACCCACCACAAGAAGCCTGACTCTGACCCTGTGGTTCTCAGGAGGGGGGCGTGCAATTGCCCCGGGACCGGCCTCTGGACACCAGTCGTATTGCCAGCATCCGCATGGGTACCACAGTGGCCACCAATGCACTATTAGAACGACGGGGGGAACGGGTGGCCCTGCTGGTGACACGTGGCTTCCGAGACCTGCTGCACATTGGCACCCAGGCCCGCGAGGACCTCTTTGATCTGGTGAGCACCCAGCTGGGTGCTAGGTGGTATAGCTTCCTTGAATCTGTCTCAATAAGTTGCTGTTGCCTTGTGGGGGGTACAGTTGGTGGAAGGATCAGTGGAGGGCCAAGTCCAGCAGCTGATAGGCAGAGAGGTAGGTAGTTTTGGGTTCTGCCAGAAGGGTCCTCTGCCTCAGAGTAGGGACATAGTGCTCTTTTCCTGTTGCTTCTGTGACCTGTCCTGGACCCTGACAGCCCAAGCAAGTCCTGTTCAGGTTGAAGGTCCAGAGCTGCCCTTTGGGGATGGGCCAGTTGACCATATTCAACTCAGATGCCTAAAGGCAGTGAGCCACCCCAAGGTGAGCCTTGCTGGGCCAGGCTGACTCTCTGCCTCTTGGGCCTGTTTACTGACTTGTTGGGACACATCCCCTTGCCTGCACCGCTTCACTCATGCTGGACCCACAAGAACCCCAGGCCTGGGTCGCCTCTGAGTCTCTGCCAACCCCCAGGCTGTGCCCATGCCAGAGATGCTGTATGAGGAGGTGCTGGAGGTGGAGGAACGCGTGGTGCTTTACCGCGGAGAACCAGGCGCCGGGTCGCCTGTCAAAGGTCCAGTCCCACTCACAGCTGTGGGGCCCCGGGGGAGGGCAGATCCTGGCAGCCTCTGATGGGGGCAATGGGCCTCTGCAGGCCGCACAGGAGACCTGCTGGAGGTGCAGCAGCCTGTGGACCTGGGGTCCCTGCGTGGGAAACTGGAGGGGCTCCTGTCCCGGGGCATCCGCAGCCTGGCGGTGGTTTTCATGCATTCCTACACGTGAGTGAGGGCATGAGCCGTGGGTGGAGGGCTGTGGGCCTCAGTGAGAGGCACAGGGCCTGCGAGGACAGTGTAGAGCCCCTGGGTTCTTGTCGTAGATGGGCCAAACATGAGCAGCAGGTGGGCACACTGGCCCGGGAGCTGGGCTTCACGCACGTGTCCCTGTCCTCGGAGGCCATGCCCATGGTCCGCATTGTTCCCCGGGGACACACAGCCTGCGCCGACGCCTACCTCACTCCTGCCATCCAGCGCTACGTGCAGGGATTCCGCCGTGGCTTCCAGGGCCAGCTTAAGGTAAGGCCCCTCCACTGCCTGCTCCTGGGTTCAGCTCTGGGCCTGCCCAGTCCTTGCTGCCCACCTGCCCGCTTCACAGGACGTGCAGGTGCTCTTCATGCGCTCCGATGGTGGCCTGGGGCCCATGGACGCCTTCAGCGGCTCCCGCGCTGTGCTCTCTGGTCCCGCCGGCGGTGTGGTGGGTTACTCGGCCACAACCTATCAGCTAGAGGGTCGCCAGCCTATCATTGGCTTTGACATGGGAGGTATGAAGGCTGAAGGGGGCATCTCCGGGAGGCTTAGCTGCCAGGCTGGGCAAATCTTGGCAAGCTGGTCTTTGGGTGACTCCCAGCACCCCATTTCCCACCAGGCACATCCACAGATGTGAGCCGCTATGCTGGGGAATTTGAGCACGTGTTTGAGGCCAGCACAGCTGGTGTCACCCTCCAGGCCCCACAGCTGGACATCAACACAGTGGCAGCTGGTGGGGGCTCCCGCCTCTTCTTCAGGTCAATTCCCACCCTTCCAGCCCAGACCTTCAGCCCTTCTTCCTTTCCCACCTCCAATCCCAGTCCTCCATCTCCCCAGGTCTGGTCTCTTCATAGTTGGGCCGGAGTCAGCAGGTGCCCACCCAGGACCCGCCTGCTACCGAAAAGGTAAGTGCCAGTATGTGAGTCTGTGCCCTTCCAGACCTTGCCCTCTTCATGCTATCCCAGGCCCATTCAATCTTTCCGCCTCATCCCTGCTGCCCACTCCTGGTCCCCTGCCTCTAGTCTCCAACCCCTACAACATGCCCACCTCCCAGGGGGCCCCGTGACAGTGACGGATGCTAATCTGGTCCTGGGTCGCCTGCTGCCTGCCTCCTTCCCCTGCATTTTTGGGCCGGGAGAGGACCAGCCACTGTCCCCTGAAGCCTCCCGCAAGGCCCTGGAGGCTGTGGCCACTGAGGTGAACAGCTTCCTGACCAGCGGGTCCTGCCCGGCCTCCCCACTGAGCCTGGAGGAGGTGGCCATGGGATTYGTACGTGTGGCCAATGAGGCCATGTGCCGGCCCATCCGTGCGCTCACACAGGTATGCCCATCTCTGCCCACTCTGACTGTCTTACCCTCCAGCCCTGCCCCCTGCCCCTAACTTCTTGATCAGTCAGCCCAGCAGGGATGAGAGGTAGGGGCTAGACAGGTGGGCTAGGAGAAGCCACTGACCCTTCTGGATCCTCAGGCACGAGGTCATGACCCCTCAGCCCATGTGCTGGCCTGCTTCGGGGGAGCTGGCGGGCAGCATGCTTGTGCCATTGCCCGGGCCCTGGGCATGGACACTGTGCATATTCACAGGTGGGTCTGGGTGTGGATGTGCTGGTGGCCCTGTGTCCTGAGTTGGGGGAGCCAGCTTTGGGAGGAGCCCCCTCACCACTTACCACCCTGTCCCACAGGCACAGTGGGCTGCTGTCGGCTCTGGGGCTGGCTCTGGCAGATGTGGTGCATGAGGCACAGGAGCCTTGCTCCCTGCCTTACACGCCAGAGACCTTCATGCAGCTGGACCAGAGACTGAGCCTCCTGGAGGAGCAGTGTGTGGATGCCCTGAAGGCCCAGGGCTTCCCTAGGTGGGGTCCTGGGACACTGGGCAGAGGGCTTGTGTTATCCCCACCACCCTGTTGGCGGGTTTACCACCTGGCGACTTCCCAAATGGTCCCAGGCTCCTTTAGGGCCACGGTGAGGGAGGACCCCTGGACTGAGAGTCCCTGAGAAAGCTGGGCAGGCACCGTCCGGGACACTGGGTGAACGTCCTGCCTGCCTGCTCTAGGTCCCAGATCAGCACGGAGAGCTTCCTGCATCTGCGTTACCAGGGAACTGACTGTGCCCTGATGGTGTCTGCCCACCAGCACCCAGCTACGTCCCGCTCACCCCGTGCTGGTGACTTTGGGGCAGCCTTTGTGGAAAGGTGTGTGAGCCCCTCGTCCTGGGAGCCCAGTAGGTGGCCTATCTCCACCTGCTTTGCCCTAATGACTCTTTGGGGCGGGGGTGGTACAGGTACCTGAGGGAGTTTGGCTTCGTCATCCCTGAGCGGCCTGTGGTGGTGGACGACGTGAGGGTGAGGGGCACTGGCCGCAGTGGTCTTCGGCTGGAGGTCGCCCCCAAAGCCCAGACTGGGCCTCCCCGGGTGGACAAGGTTGGTGGCCTGTGTGCTGGTTTGCCTCTGTCCATGGGCTCTAGGCACAAGTGCAGAAGGGGAGGTCACACCCTGTGAGGGCCTCAGGGAATGTGCGAGGCCTAGGAGCCTGGCTCACCCCATACTCTCTGCAGGTGACCCAGTGCTACTTCGAGGGGGGTTACCAGGAGACCCCTGTGTACCTGCTAGGGGAGCTGGGCTATGGGCACCAGCTCCAGGGGCCCTGCCTCATCATTGACAGCAACAGGTGGGCTGAGACCTGGCCTGGGTGGAACCTTGGAGAGGTGAACTACAGGGCCCCTGGCTGCAGGGGCCTGAGGGACTTGGGGGGTCCCATAACCAGGCTGTCCCCTGGCCTGAGGCTGTGGGTCCCTGGTTGGGAGAGGTCTCTGGCCTGGCCATTGCAGCCCCTTTATGCCCCCTGCCCCCAGCACCATCCTTGTGGAGCCTGGGTGCCAGGCAGAGGTGACCAAGTCGGGGGACATCCGCATCTCTGTGGGGGCTGAGGCCCCCAGCACAGTGGGCACTAAGCTTGATCCCATCCAGCTGTCTATCTTTTCACATCGCTTCATGAGCATTGCTGGTGAGTGGCTGCCACTGTCCTCCCCACAAGCTTGGCTGACCCTGGTGTAGGGCATGGGGGCTCTGTGTACTGGCCAGGGGTAGGTACAAGTGGGGTGGCTCTTGCTACTTGTAGTGGGCTAGCAGGTGGGTGCCAAGGGGAAACATGAGCGAGGGGAAGAGCAGTTTTCCTGTGGGTCCAGGGGTGATGGGTCTGGCTTTGGCCCCGGGATGGCACCACCTGCTACAGGAGCAGTCCTCAGGCAGGCAAGTGTCTTCTCCTCGTATCAGGATCTGAGGATATCTAGGAACTGAATCCTGAGGCCAACACAGCAAGCTCACCTGTGCAGAGTCAGGACAGGGACTTTTGTGAGCCTGGGGGGGGGTCTGTGCCTGGGCACCAGGTCCCTGCTGTACAGGTCAAGGGGAGGCCCCAGGCTCTTGCTGGGAGCTCCAGGGAATCGAAGAGGAAGGTGATGCCCTTCACATAGACCAAGACACACTGTGGCTGTACTGCCTAGGTGGATGTGCTGCCACCTGGTCTTCCTCAGGGCATGGGAAAAGTTGCTGGGCCTGGGGTTTGGGTTTGAAGGCCTTGACCCCATGGGTCCTCCTTCTCCCTTTCCTGGAGCCATGCTGTGGGTGATAGAACCAGCCGGTACCTGGTCACTCTGTGTCCCCAGAGCAGATGGGCCGCATCCTGCAGCGCACTGCCATCTCCACCAACATCAAGGAACGCCTGGACTTCTCCTGTGCCCTCTTTGGACCTGATGGGGGGCTGGTCTCTAATGCCCCCCACATTCCTGTGCATCTGGGAGCCATGCAGGAGACTGTGCAGTTCCAGGTGCGGTGGGCCCCCTCTCTAGCCTCCCTGGCTGACCCATGTCCCTGCCCCACCCCCATTCTGCACCTGTCTCCTGGTTTTAGATCCAGCACTTGGGGTCTGATCTCCACCCGGGTGATGTGCTGCTCAGCAACCACCCCCGCGCAGGGGGCAGCCATCTTCCAGACCTGACTGTAATCACACCGGTGAGGTTCACTGCCAGGCTACCTTTGTGGGGGTCACGGGTGGCTGACACAGCTGACTGTCACTCTCTACCCGCTAGGTATTTTGGCCAGGTCAGACTCGGCCTGTGTTCTACGTGGCCAGCCGAGGGCATCATGCAGACATTGGGGGTATTACACCAGGCTCCATGCCCCCACACTCCACTGCACTGCAACAGGAGGGGGCCGTCTTTCTGTCCTTCAAGCTGGTCCAGGGGGGCGTCTTTCAGGAGGAGGGTGAGCAGGAGTGGGGCTGCGGTGGGGTTCAGCAGGATGGGATACCTGGTTGCTGCCAGTGACCCAGCTGGCTGGACCCTGGGATACAGCCCAGCAGCCCAGATCTGCCCTGAGGCTGGGGAGAGGCAAATGGTGACCCCGTGGTGCAGTTGCAGATCATCCCCCAGAGATGATTAGAGGYGAGATGAATTCTGTGTGGCCAAAGAAGTACTCCTTGGAGGTGGTTTGGGGGTAGGAAGTTGGCCAGGACACTCAAAGAGTAGAGTATAGAAGGAAGAAGGGCCTATTTCAGATAGGTAGCTGCTGTAGTCCACACTGGGTTTGGGTGAAGGATGTTTGGGAACTCAGGTCTGGTATTGGATGGGATTTGGGTGGAGTGAGGGGTCAAGTTTGGATGAAGGAGGATGGAGGCCTCACACTGAACAGAGACAGGGAAGGTAGGGTCAGCGGAAAAGGTAGCACATGGTGTGAGGTTACAGGGGCTTGGGAGTCCAGAGTAGCACCCCAGAACGAGGGTGGGTGAGTTGAGCAGGGTGGAGGGGTAGAGGTAACAGAGCCATGGTCCACTTTGGGTGTCACAGACACATATAGGGTGACGTTGGTCAGGGGTAGCTGGGGTAGGAGGTGTGGATCATGGAGGAACAAGTGTAAGCATATGGTAGGGGATCAGTGCCAGGGAGCCTCAGAGACTGTAACTCAGAAGGGAAGAGGTGTTCCTGAAGTGTGTAGGAGTCTCTGGGTCAGTCTGCATCCCTTGCAGGAGTGAGAGGGAACCTTGTCCAGATCTGAGAAACCTGCAGGTGGGGGATAGCACAGGCAGGAGTCTGATGCTCTTTTGAGGCACTTGGCTGTGGATGTCAGTGGGAGCTGGCAGGGCTAAGGGCATATCGAGGAGGAGGAATGCCAAGGAAGTGGCTTTTCTCCTGGGAGACAGAGTAGAAGTGGGCTGGAGAAGGCAGGAGGGATGAGGAGGGAGGAGAGTTTGCTAAGGGACCAATATGCCCTCTAGGCATCTCCAGCTCCAGTGAGGTCACTGGCCAAGCTGCCCTTAGGCGCTGGCTATCAGAAGGATAAAAGGATGGAGGCTGGTGCTTCAGGGAATGGGAGTCAGCAGGAGAGGTGGGGATTCAGTGGAGGGCCAACAGTGCCCAGTGGGGGTGCAGTGGGGCTGGAATAGGGCACCAGGTGGCTGAGGAGATGGGGGCAGCTCAGTGGTGACCTCATCCATTCCATCCAGCGGTGACAGAGGCTTTACGGGCACCAAGCAAGATCTCTGGTTGTAGTGGAACTAGGAATCTGCATGACAATCTGTCGGATCTCCGGGCCCAGGTGGCAGCCAACCAAAAGGGCATACAGTTGGTGGGGGAGCTCATCGGGCAATATGGCTTGGATGTTGTGCAGGCCTACATGGGCCACATTCAGGTGGGTCTAGGGGCAGGGAGGTGGGAGCCCCACTCTGCCTGACCAAGGTAGCAGGGCCACTCTGAAAGTAGCATGGCTGCCATTGGACCCTCTCCCTGCCAGGCAAATGCAGAGCTGGCAGTGCGTGACATGCTGCGGGCCTTTGGAACCTCCCGGCAGGCTCGGGGCCTACCCCTTGAGGTGTCTGCGGAGGACCACATGGATGATGGCTCTCCTATACACCTCCGAGTTCAGATCAACCTGAGTCAGGTCAGAACTAGTTGGGAGACAGGGAGGGAGCTTTCTGCGCCACCCCACTGCTGATGCCTTCACCCTTCTCCTTCCTGGGCAGGGCAGTGCTGTATTTGACTTCAGTGGCACTGGGCCGGAGGTGTTTGGCAACCTCAATGCCCCGCGGGCCATAACGCTGTCGGCCCTCATCTACTGCTTGCGCTGTCTTGTGGGCCGAGACATCCCACTCAACCAGGTTCGCAGGGGCGTGGAGTCTGAGGTCGGTCCCTACCAGTGCGAGGTCAGCAGGTGAACCTTAGGCTGGAGGTCACCCTGAGTGTGTGTGGGGTCAAGGTCAGCCCCACATGGACTGAGCCGGGGAGGTGGGCATGTTTCTCCTGGAATCAGAGAGGGACCCAGCCCCATTTGCCCCTGAGAGCTGCTTGCCCATGCACAGGGCTGCCTGGCACCTGTGCGGGTGGTGATTCCTAGAGGCTCCATCCTGGACCCATCCTCAGAGGCAGCGGTGGTGGGCGGCAACGTGCTCACGTCACAGCGTGTGGTGGACGTCATCCTGGCGGCCTTCGGGGCCTGCGCTGCCTCCCAGGTGTGATAGGCAGGGTGGGTGCGGCCCTGGGGGCTTCTGGGAACTCTGGGAGGGCGAGGGCCTGCTGGAAGCGGATCCCGGCCCCAGCCAGGTGCAGTTAAGGCTTGCTCCTGCCAGGGCTGCATGAACAACGTGACCCTGGGCAATGCCCATATGGGGTACTACGAGACGGTAGCGGGCGGTGCAGGTGCGGGCCCCGGTTGGCACGGACGCAGCGGCGTGCACAGCCACATGACCAACACGCGCATCACCGACCCCGAGATACTGGAGAGCCGGTGAGCTACGCGCGCCAGGGGCTAGGCAGCGAGGATGGGGCCGAGCTTGGGTTCAGCTGAGCTCTGAGCCCTTCGTACGCGTAGGTACCCGGTCGTCTTGCGCCGCTTTGAACTGAGGCCGGGCTCTGGGGGCCGAGGCCGATTCCGGGGCGGCGACGGCGTGGTCCGCGAGCTGCTCTTCCGCGAAGAGGCGCTGCTGTCGGTGCTCACAGAACGCCGGGCCTTCCAGCCCTATGGCCTTCAGGGTGGGCGGCTCCCCAACCCCTCTCGACCTGTCTGTTCCCTACTCACTGCTGCATCCGCGCTCCCCCTCCTCTCCATCTCCTTCTCTACCTTTCCTCCTTGACCATCCAGCTCCTCTCTCCCTGCAGGGGGTGAGCCTGGCGCCAGGGGCCTAAACCTGCTGATCCGAAAGGATGGCCGCACTGTGAACCTTGGCGGGAAGACGTCGGTGTCAGTGTACCCGGGGGTAAGGGGTGCAGCCGTGCTGTTCGCCACTTCCCTTATTTCCCCCATTCCATGGAGAGTGAACAGAGAGGCAGAAATAACCAGATAGCGAGTTTAATTTGGTTCCCGAAGGGCAGTGGGCCATATGCCGGTCTCTGGGGTCCAAACGTTAAGGTGATGAATGCTGCCCGGGCTGGGAAGGGTCAAGCCTGCTCTGAACCCCTCTCTCCACAGGATGTGTTCTGCCTTCATACCCCTGGAGGTGGTGGCTACGGGAACCCAGAGGACCCTGCCCCATCGCAGGGCTCACCCCCACAAACTCCTGCCTTCTCAGAGCGGGGTAGTGTCTATGAGTACCGCAGGGCCCAAGAGGCTGTGTGAGGGCCCCCCTAATAAAGATCCCTTACATCGCCCAGTTGTGGGACACGGCTGTCAGGCCAAACTCCTGCTCTGCCTTGTGGTCTGTGTTGCTGGCAGCATCCTTTGTCCTTGTGCCAGTGTCAGGAGAGTGCCGAAACGCGCAGCTGCAGGCCCACGGTCAGGTGGTCTGTGAGCCCCGCCAGGGCTGTACTAAACATAACCTGTTCCACTTCCTGGGGGCAGGAACCAGGTTGAGGGATGGTTCCAGCGCCAGCGAGCCCAGCAGTCCTGAACTCTGGCACTTACTGGAATCAGCACACTCCCAGGCATTTCCCGGTAGGTGATGTAGTCCAGACGCCGGCCCAGCCAGGGGTTAGCCCGACGGCCTCCGCGGGGAGGGCCTGCCAGGTAGAGGTGGCGCCCTTTCTCCTGCTCTAGGGCCCTAGGGGAGGGGCGTTGTCACCAAGGCTGGGGCGCTCCTCCAGGCGCGGCCAGCAGTGCTTGGCTCCCAGCGCTCCACTCACCTCCGCAGCATCTCCGGTGAGCTAGCTACTGATTGGTGGAGGGTGGAGGTGCTTAGGATGGTTCCTGTGGGGGGCGGGTGGGGGTGGTTGAATCAGCAGGTGCCTAGCTGATGAATCCCTGGAGGGGCCGCCCCCCCCAACCCCCTGACGCATACCCAGGGCCCAAGGCTGATCCTGGCGTGTGCTCAGCCGGCAGGGATCCCGGAAACAGCGAAAGAGTTTGTGCCCCTGCTCCTGTGCGTGGTCTGCACAAAAGACCAGCGTTCAGTGGGCGGGGCCGGGCCTTTTGGCCTCGCCTCCCCCAGCTAAGCTCCTCACCTTTTGAGCAGTTGTCAAAATTTAGGTCACCCAGAAGCACGCTAAAGGCCACAGCCTCACCACTCTGGCGGCTCTCGGCCTCAAACTGCTCTGCCCAGTCCAGTAGCAGCGTCAGCTGTTTGCAGCGCAAGAGCCCATCCTCTACGGAAAGGGTGGAGGGTGGGGGTAGAGGTGTGCAGCCTTCTATTCAGCCCAGGTTGAGGATCTACATCCTGGACACCTGGTTCCCGCTAGACTGGGGTCTCTGCACCCACCCAGGCACTTCTTGGGAGTTGCCATTACTGGGGCAGTGAACAAAAAACAGTGGGCAGTGGGAAAGAGAGGTGCAAATAAGGGTAGGCCTGCTGCGAAAGAGGGGCCGTAGGAGGGCCTGGCTACCGTCCAACAATCCTTCCCACAGGGCTCACCAGTGGGTGCATGTAAATGCGTGCAATGCAGGAATCCCACTATGCGGTGCCCGTCCAGGATGCCCAGTTGCACCTGCAACAAAACCAACAGTACCAGCTTTCATTGCCCATTCGGCCCAACAGCTCACCCCATCCAGGGCCAGGGCACACAGCCTGTGGGAATATACCTGAGCGGATAGTAGACCCTTGGAGGCAAAGGCGTCCTCACGACGCGCATTGGGAAAGCAACGGAAGTTGGCACGCAGAAGCGGGTAGCGGGAAGCCAGCAGGAGCCCGCTGCCTAGCAGTTTTAAGTATGGCCCAGGCTGTAGGCCAAGTGTGCCTACGTCATACAGCACCGGGCCCAGATTCGGAGCCAAGCGGCGCACCAGGCGTCGAGCTGCACGAATATCGAATACCTCCTGCAGGCACACAAAGTCCAGCCCCGCGGGCATCTGGGCCGTCAGCGTCCCGCCTGGCTCCCCAGGCCTTTGTGGGCTGCATCCGGTAGCTCCATAAAGCGAGGGCCGTAGGCCGTTTAACAGCGTAGCGCCAATGGCCTYTGCGCGCCGTTGGCTGTGCGGCAGATTGCTGAAGCGCGCCAGCCCGTCGGGGAGCAGGCACAGGTTGGCAGTGAGGAAGACAAAGCAGCGCGCAAACTCAGCGCACGGGCGCCAGGGCGTGGGCGGCACCCAGCACGGAGGAGGGGGCTGGTAGCAGAAGGGGCGGCGACAGGCCTGCAGCGGCAGCCAGAGCAGCAAGCCAGGCAACGCCAGCGGTAGGCCAAATAGCAGGAGCAGCAGCAGCGCCACCCCGCCGCCAGCTGCTGCTCTCAGCCTGCTGGGGCGCGCTGTCGGTGCCCAGCAGCCAATCAACTGGTCCAGAGCCCAGTAGGTCGGGAAGAGCAGCACGCGGGCCACGCAATGGAGGGTGTGCAGCACAGGATGCGCAAAAGGCGAAGGCCGCAGGATGTCGTCGGTCACCGGGGGCCAGTCGGACTGGGTTTGCATAGCGCTCGGGGCTGTCTGGCTGAGAAGCCGCCCAGAAGATTCATTCGCTCCAAGAGTGCGAATCGAATTGTCGGCAAATCGGCACGAGCAGCAGGGGTGTCTCGGGTCAAGGCCACGTGGCACAACCTGTTTGAGGGACCGGTTGGGCGCTGTTCCCAGCGAGCCTGGCGGTTCCGACGCAGGCCAAAGCCAGGGTCAAGGAAGTCCCTGGTTTTACGGGCCCGCAACTTCGGTGGTTGTTGGAAAAACAAAACGGAAAGTGAAAAGGACCCTAGTCCTGCAGCCCCGCCCCAAGCCTCTCTTGCTCCGCCCAGTCCACCCGAAGCTGCGAGGAGGAATGTGGCTCCGCCCCGCGTAAGAGGGGTGAGGGTTGAACCCGGCTGTTCATCTTCCCCTCCCCCACCTGCCGAGTGCTCTCGCTACCGAAACCGCAGGATCCACCCCGCCCCTGCTGCACCACGCTCCTGCCTATCTTTCTGCCCCTACGGTGCTAGGGGACTGATTGCTAGCACCCAGCAGCAATGGGAGACAGACTCGGACTCAGAGAGGTGTAAACACTGCCCGGCCCAGATCCCCACAGTGTCCCCTCAAAGGGCTGGTGGTGGTACTGTGGTCCTACCCCAAGAAGCTTCCAATATGGGGAGAGAGACGGTTGGTTCCGCCCTGCAAGGCCAGTCCACCTGGGCACGCGAGCCAGGAGGGAGCCAACTCCCTATTCGCTGAGCCTTCCCGCACTGACCCTGAGTTGATAGGACAGTGTGGCCTGGAGCTCACAGGCTCTGCTTGGCTCCCTTGGATGCCCACTTTTATAATTTGGACTGTGAACCACCACCCACCCTGCCCTCGGCTGTGTACAGTGACTCTTAAACTGTCCTGCAGGTTTGGATTAGGGCTATTCACCCAGGTAGGCAGGGAGGTGAAGGAGCTTCTGGGCCTCATCTAGCCAGGATGGTTCCAAATGTTGCTCTCTGGATGGACTTCTTTCATCCCCTTCCAAGAGGCTGAGCAAGAGACTGAGCTGTCTGGTTGGAACCCTGAAAGTCTCAGGAGGACCAGGAGCCAGGAGGGCAGAAGGCCATAGCTCCTGCGGCCTGGGCATCCCAGCAGGAGAGCCTCAGCACACCTGGCACCCTCTCTGTCCCTGGGTTCCTCCTGGTTGCTGGCAGGATCCCTGTTTAAACCCAACCCCTGTGGCTTCTTCTTTCCTTGCTGTTGACTCACTGATTGGCAAACACCAATGTTCTAGGACCCTCCTCACTTGGAGGCCTTATTTCTGCCTTCCCATCTCAGCTCTGGCCTCTACAGCTTCCCTTAGGTAGTACTCTGAGCTTGCCCACATTGCCTCTCTTTCTCATGCCTCTTTCTTTTTTTTTTAAACATTTATTTTTTAGTTGTAGTTGGACACAATACCCTTATTTTATTCATATATTTTTATGTGGTGCCGAGGATTGAACCCAGGGTCTCGCACATGCAAGGCGAGTGCTCTACCGCTGAGCCACAACCCCAGCCCTCTCATGCCTCTTTCAACCTGTCCAGCCCTGCACCCCCCAGCTCACACCCTTCCCATCTCACTCCACAGGCTACCTCAAGCATTCCATCTGACCCCCATCCATCCTTTCTCCTCACCTCTCCTGCTTCCCCATCCAACCTCAGCCCCTGAAGCTGGTAGTTCAGCCCTCCCTACTTCTGAATTCCCCACCCCAGATCCCTGGACCCTGTGAAGGGGGTCTTTTCTTTCCAGACCTTAGGCATTTTGGGGAGGGGCTGCTTTCTCCCTGACTGCTCTCTGCCCAGGTTTGGGTGGGTGAGGCAGTTTTCTCCCCTCCCCTCCTGCTCTTCTCCTCCCCTCCCCTCCTCCCTCCTCCGCTCTTCTCCCCTCCCCTCCCCTCTTTTTTCCCCTCTCTTCTTACAAGCTCTCTCCCCCTTTTGCAGTACCAGACATTGAACCCCTGAACCCAGGGGCACTCTACCACTGAACTACACCCTCACTCAGCCTTTTTAATTTTGAGACAGGGTCTTGCTAAGCTGCCATTGGATTTGCCATCTTCCTGCCTCAGCCTCCCAAGATGGAGCCAGCTTTCTTCTGGTTGCTGTCAGGAGCCGCTCTGGAAATACATGCCCTTAAGTCCTGAGCAAGAGATACTGAACAACTATTGTGCCCTGCAATAACTTGGGCTTTACCTCCACTCCAGATAATGAGGCATGACTCCAGGAGTAGGGTTATCCACTGGGGTCAAGTTACACTCACCAGTTCCTTTGTAATCCTACCCCTTGCCCTTTTGGATAGAATGTTCTGCAAAACAGCATCCCCCAATAAAAGCCAACCCCAGAATGTGCTCACTCTCATCAGCCTCTCCTGACTTCCTCGCTCCCCTTGTGGGAGCCTGAGATGGGGAGCCAGGGAAGCCGTCCTGAAGCTTATAAAAAGGTGTTCTGTGTCTGCGTGGTGTTTTGTGTCACACTGAATTCACACGAGTGACTTTGGTTCAGTTGCCTGCCTGGCCAGGGGCAGCAGGTTAGCCTCCCTCTACTGTCCTCAAGTTCCTTCCTTCCTGGCCCCTAGTCCCTGCTCCGCATGGAGGGAGGACTCCCTGCCTGCTTGCTCCCATCTCCTTCAGGATTCTTGCTCTTCTTGTTCCAAGTCTCAGAGGGCCTGTTGCTTGCTCCCATCACCAAGTAAGGGAACCTGGGGGACTTCCAACCAACCCCCTTAGCCAGATGGCTGCTCAGCCTTGATCTGGGAGCTCCTTCCAAGGGCCCCTGGGTAAGTGTGGGTGCCAGGGTGGCAAGATTTAAGGTGCAGGGGTGTGGGGAGCCCCCCAGCTAACATCATAGGAGTGCAGCATGGGATCATTGACTAGCCTAGTATTTGTGGGAAGCTTTAATGGCCGTATACAGGGGTGTGGGGCAGAGTGAGCCTGGCCAGCCGGGCACCAGCGTCACCAGATGAACATTGGCTTGCCATCATCGTGTGCCAGCTGATTGAGGCATGAGAGCAACAGCAGCGCGTCGGTGAGCATGCTGGGGTGCACTGTCTCCACCAGCACGCGCTGCAGGAAGTCCACAGTGTAGGAGCCGCCCTCTGATGCGGCCAGCTCAGGCCTCTCACGCAGGATGCCATACGCATTCACCAGCTGCTCTGTCAGCGCAGGATGTACCCGCCCATTGTAGCCCAGACTCTGCAGCCTGTTCATGATGCTCACGTAGCGCTGAGTGAGTGTCTGGCACAGCTCCTCGTCCAGCTTGTGGTCACTGGGGTTCAGGGATGCCTGTGGGGAGAGTGGTCTTCAGCAGCCCTCCTTCCTCACTTCAGCACACAGGCAAGGGGAAGAGAGGAGTAAGGGTGTGTGTGTAGCATGGCTGTCGACCACCCCGGGGGTGTGCAGGGAGGAGATCCTGGGAGACAGGCTGGAGGGATCTGGTGGGTAGAGGAGCCCAGGGACTGAGCCTGACAGAGAAGCCCCCAAGCTCTATCCAGGCAGGGCCAGTGGCTCCGCCAAGTTCCTGAGATACCCCCAATCCTGTGGCCTGCTCCACTCACCACCAGGAATTTGGGATTGGGCTGAGGACAGGGACTATGGCTGAAAGTCTGGAGGCACTGGGGAAAATGAGAAGCTCTTCAAACCCCCACAGTTGCCTGACTGCAAGTCTTGAGGCCTCTCCCAGGACCCCTCCTGGCTCCCCTCCCTGCTCCTTCTCAGTCTCCTCTGGAGGCCTCTGCTTCCCAGCCTGGACTCTGTCCTCAGGACATCCTGCCTCACACCCCTTGTGACACTGAAGGAAGGACGCCAGCCAAGCACTCTGGACCCCAGCACTGAGGTCCTCCACCTGGACTGGACACAGGAGAGTCCCTGGGTCTTCCCACCCAGCCAGGCAGTGACTGCTGCTGGCCAGGATGCCCCTGATGGCTGGGTGCTTCTGTTGTACTTGTTGTTCTGTCGTTCTGGGCTTTCCTGACTGGAAGCTGAGGCTCTTCCAGACTTGACTTTATTAGTTGTTGRTGGACCTCTATTATTGATATAAAGGGCCTCACACATGCCAGGAAGTGCACTACCACTGAGCCCCAGCCCCAGTCCCTGGTTGTTAAATACTTTGAAGATCTCCCTGATTAGAAGGAACTTCATTCCCCTAAATGTATTTATTTTAAAACAAAGGAGATAAATAAAAGAAATAAAAATAAAACAAAATGATGTAGGTACTCAACACAAGCAAGATAAATATCAAAACAAAACTAAAGGAAGTCCAAGAAAGGAAATAAAAAATAGCAGAAATTGGTGGCTGGGGTTGTGGAGTGCTTGTCTAGCATGTGTGGGCCCTGGGTTCCATCCTCAGCACTGCATATAAACAAATAAAGATATTGTGTCCACCTCTACCTAAAAAATAAATATTAAAAAAATAGCAGAAATTAGGAAACAGAAGCCAAAGGATCAATAGGATCAGCAAAACAAAATTGGTCAAAGTAGACTCACTTCACTGAAGAGCCAGAGCAGAAGTCCCTCTGCTTTTACGTGAGGAACTCCCAGCCAAGGCCACAGGCCCCCATTCTGCAGTGGCCTGCACATCACTAAATTCCAGCCAATGAGACGAAACCGGTTGTGAGCCCCGCCTCCTGGTGGCTGACTTGGCCCCTGGACCTGAGAGTTATCTTACTAAAAAATAGGATCCTTAAGATTTAAGGTTTGGGGCTGGGGCTGGGGCTCAGCAGTAGCGCACTTGCCTTGCATGTGTGAGGCACTGGGTTCGATTCTCAGCACCTTGTATAAATAAATAAAGATCTATCAACAACTAAGGGAAAATATTTWAAAAAAAAAAAAAGATTTAAGGTTAAAGCCAGGCGCTGTGGTGCACACCTTTAATCCAAGTGGCTCAGGAGGCTAAGGCAGGAGGATTACTAAGTTCGAGGCCAGGCTCAGCAAAAGTGAGGTGCTAAGCATCTCAGCAAGACCCTGTCTCTAAATAAATTACAAAATAGGGCTGGGGTGTGGCTCAATGGTCAGTGCCCCTGAGTTCAATCCCTGGTACTCCCCTCCCATCAAAAAAGATATAAGATTAAGGGGGCAAAATCTCTCAGCAGGGAATGAGACAGCCAGCCTAGCTCCAAATCTTAAAAGATGCACCCCCAAATTAGGACTTCAATAGTGGGCCAGTCTTCAAGGCCAAGGGAGTAAGATCACACTCAGGAGGTGGCAGGTTGGAAGTCAGTGCAGCCTCCTGAGACTCTGTGGTCCACAGAGACACAGAGAAGACACTGTCAGAAGACCCAACAATATTCTGCCCTGTTTTCAAAATAATCCTAGTGATTTTCCCAGATGATCAGGAGCAAATTCCAGGGGGGGAGAGCAAGCACATGCACAGAATGGTCAACAGTGACCTGCAGTTACCTTTATTAGCATAAAGGTAAAAAGCACACCCCAGGGTGGAGGCTCCAGCTGGTAAGGCATGGCACTGAGGAGGCAGGAGGAGGAGAGCCAGGACAGCTGTCACCCACCTCTGCCTGGGGTGACATCAAGAGGCTGGTCCCACCTACCCAGATGCCATAAGAGCTGAGCGCTGGGGTTTCGTCCCCCACGTGACGCCCCCCTGGTGCCCCAGCAGAAGAGTGGAGAGCTTTGTTCACATCCCAGCTGGCCTTTTCTCTGATACAAGAACCCACCCAACAGGTGACAGACTGAGTCCTGCAGCATGTAGTTTAGGACTGGGAGTGCCCTGGAGAGCCCAGAGGAAGGAGTGAGGCCGAGGACTGTGGGCAGACCAGTGCTGGCTTACTGCTGCCCTTCGTTGGTCACAGCCATTTGGCGTGGTCCCTGACCCACGAGTAGAACTGCAGAGGACTTAAGCGCACCCCAGTGCACTAAACATCAGGAATGTGTAGTCTATCGTGCAGAAAGCTTTTCATGTCTCAGAACATTAAGACGAAAAGCAGCGGGGAGCCTGCGACATCTCAATGTGAGACAGAAAAAACATCCTAGGAAAGTCAGAATTTGTTCATGAAAAAACCACAGCATGGTTCTGTGAGAGACTGCAGGGAAGCTCTGAACCTGAGGTGGCAGACACTGGTGTTGCTCACCAGCTGTTCTGCACTGTCTGTGCCTTCCTGGCGGGAAGTGGGCTCTTCCAGACTGGAGTCTGGCGGCTGGGCTTCTGCCAGGCAGGCGGAGGTGGAGAGTGCCGGGAGCAGTCTTGGGGGAGCACGTGGACATGGCACTGGCTCTTCAGGGACAGCTGTGCTTGACTAGGGGTTTCTTGCTGGGTGTTTGCACACTGTCCTGGGCAGTGGGGCTCATAGTGTGTCCACTAGGAAAGTCTTCTGGTGTGTCAGCGTTTGTCCGGGCAGTGTAGCACACAAGCACAAGTTTGTGTCCTTGAAGTTTCTCTTTTTTTGTGGGGGAAAGGTACCAGGGATTGAACTCAGGGACCCTCAACCACTGAGCCCCATTCTCCAGCCCTATTTGTATTTTATTTAGAGAGTTGCTTAGCACCTTGCCATTGCTAAGGCTGGCTTTGAACTCGCCATCCTCCTGCCTCAGCCTCCCGAGCCGATAGGATTACAGGTGTGTGCCACCACGCCTGGTTTCCTTGAAGCTTTTCTGACCACCCAGACATTCACTAAAACCCTTCTTTACTTACATCAGCTCGTGTGGGTTCAGCCACCAAGACCACTGATTTGCCTGAGAAGACCTGCTGAATAGTCTAGCACAGACTCAGGCTTAGTGAGGAGACTGGCATTCCTTGTCAGTGTAAATATTTGCCTCTATGATCTGCTGCTTTCAAATACTCTGTCCAACAACCTGGACAATAGAAGCTAGTGTGATACACAAGATTTAGTGGGCTGGGGCTGGGGCTCAGTGGTGGAGCACTCGCCTAGCACATGTGAGGCACTGGGTTCAATCCTCAGCACCATATAAAAGTGAACAAATAAAGTAAACGTATTGTTTCCATCTACAACTAAAAAAAAAAAAAAAAAAAAAAAAAGCTATAGGTCTGCAGGTATAGGCCTGTGGTACACAGCTTGCTTAGCATAGACAAGGCTGGGGGTTTCTATCCCTCTGCCAGAGACAGATTGAGCAGATATGTTTAATCTGATTAAACAATGTATACATGAGGGGACACATTATATGGCATGCCAATAATATGTACAATTTTTATGTTTTTTTTTGTTAAAATAAATTTAGCTGGGCATAGTGATGCACACCTGTAATCCCAGAGGCTTGGGAGACTGAGGCAGGAGGAGGATCACTAGTTCAAAGCCGGCCTCAGAAACTTAGAACCCTAAACAATTCAGTGAGACTCTGTCTTAAAATAAAAAATTAAAATGGCTGGGGATGTGGCTCAGTGGTTAAGCACCCCTGGGTTCAATCTCTGGTACCAAAATAATAATAATACAGAGATATGAAAAATTGTGGTCTATATGTGTGTATTAAGAATCGTAATGCTTTGAATGATGACTTAAATGTCGGATACCCCTTCACTCCTTTCATGGGTGAAAACATTACAGTCTGACAAACCTGTAGGTTGTGGCTCTATTCTCGTTTTGAGGATGCTGAGCCTGATTCTAGCAGATCAAGCATTATGCTAAGTGAAACATGAAGCTGGTGTCTGTCGCAGAAGCATGTGGACTTTGAGGAATTGTGCGCCAGGCCCATCTCTGTGGACTTGCCTCCAACTGTAATGAGCCTATGTATGTCAAATTGGTGGAGGCCCTTTGTGCTGAACACCAGTTCAATCTAATTAAGGTCCATGACAACAAGAAACTAGGAGAATGGGTAGGCCTCTGTAAAACTGACCGAGAGGGCAGCCCCGTAAAGTGGTTGGTTGCAGTTGTGTAGTTGTTAAGGATTATGGCAAAGAATCTCAGGCCAAGGATGTCATCGAAGAGTACTTCAAATACAAGAAATGAGCAAATAAATTTTTCGTTCACAAAAAAAAAAAAAGAATCGTAATGCAAAAAAAGTACATGTATAATGGCATAAATTGATGTGAACATACTTTATATACAGAGATACAAAAAATTGTGCTCTATATGTGTAATAAGGATTGTAATGCATTCCACTGTTGTCGTGTATTTAAAAAGAATAATAAAATCAATTAAAAAAAAATGGGCTGGGGATGTGGCTCAAGCGGTAGTGCGCTCGCCTGGCATGGGTGCGGCCCGGGTTCGATCCTCAGCACCACATACCAACAAAGATGTTGTGTTCGCCAAAAACTAAAAAAATAAATATTAAAATTCTCTCTCTTTCTTTAAAAAAAAACAAAACAAAAAAATAATAACAATAATAATAATAATAATAATAAATAATATAAACTTAATTAAAAAGAAAGGAATAGAAGAATTACAACTGTCTGCTAAATAAAGGGCTGGTGAAAGTGGAATTAGATGCAGATAGGAATCAACAAATCACCCAGTCTGAGACCAGGGGGCAAGTAACTGGTTCTCAAGTGTGACGTCAGTCAGCCCACATGAACCCTGCAGAGGGCCAGCCTGGGCGTCCCCCAGGTTTGCAAAGCCACTTCTCTGCAGGAGAGCACTGGGAGAGCTGCTTCCCAGGAGGAATGAGGGTCTCTGCTGACAGGAGAATGGCCAGTGGGTCTGGAATTGGTGATGGAGGCTCTTGGGCTGAGTGACAAGTGTCTTGGTGATGGTGAGATGCCCAGAGGCTGTCAGTGGGGCTCCGTGGGCACCATGCTGGCTTTGACTTCCCTGGGCACCAGAGAAGTACTGCCTGATGCACATTAGCTCTTTCCTAACGATTTGTGCCTTAGAGCTGTGATTGTTAAATTCTACCACCTGAGCAATAACTTCCCTGTCAAGGGTAGAGAAACACCATAAAGGGAGACACACACAGACCACCCCTACATCAAAGGCCCATGCATTTTATAATCTTCCTTTTAAGCAGCAAACAATAGGAATCCTTTTTTTCATGGTTTACTATCCAATTTCTCCATGGACAACTAGACTTCTTATAATTAAATGTAGTCCTTGCCAGTTAGACACCAGACACCAGCGCTTAGAGATGCCAAGCATTGTGCTTCCACCAGGTTCTGAATCGCCCTAGCCAATCTGCACTGTGGCACAGCAGCACTGCTCTGGGACACCGTAGAGGGCTGTCAACTAGAGACTCCACCAAAGAGGGTGCCACTGACTCCAGCAACAAGGTGCTGAGGGGTAGCCAGCACTGTCAAGATGTGTGATCTAAGCCAGGCACGACAGCAAAGCCTGAGGTCCCATCTGCTCCAGGGGCTGATCTTAAGGAAGGCCGGCCTGGGCAACTTAGCAAGAGTGTCTCAAAATAAAAATAAATAAAAAGACTGGGGGTATAACTGTATGGAAAGCACCCTGGGTTCAATCCCCAATACCGAAGGGAGTGGGCGAGGGGGAGGGAGAGAGAGAGAAAGGGAGGGAGAGAAATGTATGTGTAATCTATCAATCAATGTAGTTTAATCCATATATCAATACAAAACTACTCAGAATTTGAACCAGGTTTTTCCTAAAACTTGATGTTTCCACTATGAAAGCTCACACTGAACAGGAAGAGCTAAGATGATTGAGAGAAATCTGCAGTGCCCAGCTCCAGGACCTGTCTGAGGGCAGCATGGGCTGGGCGGGGCAGCCTGGAGGGCCAACACAGGTGCAGGCCTGGAAGGGGGAAAGAGGTAGGAGCTGGGTACCCCCTTGGCCTGGCAGTGCTGGGCTTCTACAGCTCTGAGCCTGGAGACCTGGCCAGTTGCCCTCAGCAGCAGGATACTGTGGGGTCCCAGTGGATCGGCTATGCCCCTCAAAAGAAACTCTCAGCTGCTGCGATCATTCTGTCCACACAGCCCTGTCTGTCTTCTGATCACAGTACCCCTGTCCTTCTGCGTGGCTGTTCAGGCCTCAGGGCTGTCCTCTACACCTACTAGCTGAGGCTCTCACTACGGCTATTCGCTACCTTGGGGTCATTTCAATCTGGTGGTTCCTCTGTGTGAGGCTGGCCTCTGGGGAAGACCAGGGGTTGTCCAGGCTGGGGAGAAGTACCACCCATTTTAACCCACACCACTATGGTCAGTTACAGGGCAGTCAAAGACCTAAGTGAAGAAAAAAACCTTCAAATCCTTAGGAGAAAATTCAGGTGATCAGAGTACAGAAAATATGGAATGCTTTTAGGACCTTCTGATGAGAAGATTTCTTAAATGAGACATGAAGAATACAAACATTAAGGGCAAAAACTGAAAATTCTGGTCATATTAACATTAACTACTTAACCAAAGGACGCTTTAACCTATGGAAAAGAAAAGCTCAGACCTATACACCCAAAATCAAGCCAAAGTCCCCAATGCAACCAAAAGTGAATTCTTCCCAAACCACCCACAAAAGGCTCCTGTTTGTCAAACATCGTCCTCCATGCTGACACGGAAGGAGGTAAGTGGATGCATCCTGGGAAAATACACCGGAATTAGCCTTGGGCCTCGGAACAAGTCCGACAGCTGCTGCATGGCTCTGGGGCCTGTTTCCTGTGGTCCCCAGTGATCCTTGAGGACACCCACAGGACTGGGGAGGAAGCTGGCTGTGCCATTCTGGGGAGGTCACAGTACTCCTCAAGCCTCTGGGGATTAGGGCTGCCCATGCAGAGGAGAGAAGAGTCACCTGCCTGTGCTTGGAACCCTCCCTGCTCAGCCCTTCTTTGGGAAGGCTTTTAGGGCTGGACTCAGGGCTCTCACTGCCAGATGCCCTGGACACCTGCTGGCCACTTGGATTGAGCACTGGCTTCTTCCATCCCAGGTTCTCCTTGGATTCTAACATGTTAGCTTCACTTGAGGGCAGTGTCCCCAGTGTGTCTCCTCCTGGGCCAGCACACTGCCCAGTCCCTTCAGCCCCCTGGGAGTGTGTGGGAGACGGACAGCCACACACCTGGATGATCTTCTCTGGAATGTTGGAGACAGTGAAGCCGTAGAGGCGGACGCGCTCCGGGAAGATGCTGGACAGGATCCTGCGGTCCAGCTGGAAGGCGATCTCCCCCACCAGCCTCTCCCAGGCCAGCTGCTTCGACTCTGGGGATGACAGGGGACGTGGCTGAGCCATGGATGGATGGAGGGGGGCTGTGGTCAACAGCCCAGGTGGGTGGCAGGGGAGATGGCCTAGGAGCCCCCAGACTCACAGTGAGCCCCTGGTGGCCGCACTGACCTCGGGTACTGTCGGGGAACTTGCTCGTCTTGCGGTGGGCCATCTTCCGCTCCAACTCCAGGAGGCCTTTCCGAGATGGTTCCGTGGTACGTGAATACCCCCGGGTGTCATTCACCGAAGCCGGGGAGGATGAGGTACGTGGTGAGGATTGGGGGTTGCGTGGAGGAGAATGGGGGACAGGCAAGGGCCGGCTGGGAGAGGGCTGCACTCGGGGAGGGGTGGGGATGGTGCCTGAGGGGGTGCAGTTGGTGGCAGCTTGGGGGGTGGGGGCAGGGACTGTGCCAGCAGGAGAGGCAGTTGGGGAGGTAGGGATAGAGGCAGGGACCATCTGTCCCTGGGGGACACCGGGCTGGATTCGGGCATCCGCGGTGCCATACAAGGCTGTCGTGGGACCAGGCATGGCCATGATGCCCACCGGGGTGGAGGTCTGGAGGGGTGCACCCACAAATGTCACGCTGAGGGGTTCTGGTTCCTGGATTGGCTGGGGGTGTTCACTGGCTGTGACTGGTTGGGGAGGCAGAAATGAGAGGAGGGGGTTAGAGTGAGGCAGGGTGGGTGCAGGATCTGGCCTCCCTAGGGCACCCCTGCCCCTGCCTGGCACCCCATTACCTTTGGAGTTGATGGTGGACCCTGCACCAGCTGAGGAAAGGGGCCCAGAGTGACCTCCTTGGAGCGTGTCTGCCAGCCGTACCCCTGGGGCCTCTGGCACAATCAGGCCGCCCGTGGGGCTGGCCAGAAGGCTCTGAGAGACACCTAGGGGGGCTGCGGAGGTGAGCAGGGGGCTGCTCAGAGGGACGGCTACTGGGCCTGCCATGGGGGCCATCAGGGAACTGCTCTGAGACACAGCCATGGGGCCTGCCAGGGTGCTGGCCAAGGGGCTGCCTGGACTCAGGGAGCCGGTGGAGGTTAGGCCCAGGGAGTTGGTCAGGGTGGCCCCAGGGGTCACTGTGATGGGGCTGGCCAGGTGGCTGCTCAGGGGGCCAGTAGAGGGCAGGCTGGTCAGGGTGCCCCCTGGGGTCATTGCTAAGGGGCTGGCCAGGTGGCTGCTCAGGGGGCCGGTCAGGAGGCTGGTGAGTGGGCTGCTCTGTGACACAGGCACCGGGTTGGACAGCAGCGTGTTGAGAGGGCCCATCATGGGGCTCACAAAGGAGCCCACTGCAGGGCTGGGTTGTGGGCTGCTCAGCATGTCTGCCAGGGGTGCCAGGGCCACAACCCCCACTTCTTCCAGGACTTGTTCGTTTGCTGCTGCAGCTGGGGACGGGGGCAGGAAGACACCTGGGGGACACAGAGAGAGCACTGAGACCCCAGGCGAGGCCTGCCAGGAGCCACGGAGGCAGTCATGGGCTCTCCTACCCTTCCGGGGCCTGGCCAAAGTGCTTGTCTGACTCTGGTGACTTGACCTCCCTGAGCCTCGCTGCTCTGGGTGGTTAGAGCCATGTACCCCTGCCCCTGAGGGGACTCCAGGGCAGCTGCCATGGAGGATCTGTGAGCGGGTCTTCCCTGCCTTCTCAGTCCCTAGCATCTTGTGTCCAGCCCTGATTCTCTAGTGAGTCCTCCCAGACTGACTGTTCTGCCTGTCCCGCTCCAGGTCATAGGGACGGTTCACAGCCCTCCCCCTCAGTTGTTCTCACTGTACTCAGCCACTGACCTCTCACCCAAGAAAGAAGGGTTTCCCAGTGGCAGGACTCAGGTGGCCAAGGTGGCCTTTCTGGTCTATGAAGGGAAGGAGTGAGCTGGGCCTCCAGTGCAGAGAGATGAGCCCACTTGGTAGGACCCCCTAGGGGGTCAGTGTTGCAACAGGCAGAGCCTCACCAAGCCCAGGGCCAGGCACAGACTACCTGTGTACCCTAAGAGGCCCAGACTCATTTCTTTACACTCCTGGACCCTCATGTGGGAGCCTAGGAGCCCATTCTCTGTGAGTTCTGCAGGAGAGCACCTTCAGATGACTCCTGTTTGGGGGAGGGTCCCTGAGGAGGTGCAGAGCTAAGGAGGTAGAGTGCAGCAAGGTTTTGATAATATGCAATTTTAGTGAAAACTTCCACTTTGCTGATATTGTCATAAAAATAGGACACACCTACTATAGGGAAAGACTGGAAATACAGACAAGTGAGAAATAGGAAAACTCTCTGACAGTCCGATCATTCCATGGTTAGTCCCTAATCAAGAGCTTCCCATTACCTAGCAGACTTTTTCGACATGTTTATAGAAACCAGGGGTTGGAGAACATTTTCTATAAAGGGTCAATTGGTAAATATTTCTCACTTGGCTGGCCACATGGTCTCTGTTGCAAGTCTGCTGTTCTTTTGCTGTTCTGCAAAAGCAGCCAAAGAAAACCAGTCATTTGGAAGTAAATGACTAAGGATATGTGGCAATAAGACTTTATTTATGTACCCTAATTTTTGAATTTCATGTACTTTTCATGTGTTATGAAACAGTATTCTTGTTTTGATTTTTTTCAACCCTTTGAAAATGTAAAACCTGTTCTTAATTCACAGGCTCTGTACAAACTGGAGGTAGTTGTCCTCTGGGAAAATGACCCAGGTAGGTCACTGGGCCAAAAGGGTGAGGGAGATGGGACAGACCTTGGCCAACTTCCACAGAGGAAATGGCTCAACCTGAGTTTTGGTCCAAGTTGAATTCCAGATAAAATCAATAAGCACTATAAAGAAGGTGACTCTATGACCACCAAGGGTACAAGTCACAGAAAGTATGCACCACAACATACAGCGAAAGAACCACAGGGACCTGGGCAGGGGTAGCTGACCCAGGTCCAGAAGGACCAGTGACACAGGGAATGGATTATGTAATTAACAGAGCTGGTCTATATACACCAGAGAGATTCAACAGCAGGTGTGCATCTCTTTTTTGGTTGTTGATAGACCTTTATTTTTTATTTATTTATGTGCAGTGCTGAGAATCGAACCCAGTGACTCATACATGCCAGGCAAGTGCACTACCGCTGAGCCACAGACTCAGCCCCCYAGTCCTTTTTAAAAAATGTTTTATTTAGAGACAGGGTCTTGCTGAGTTGCTTAGGGCCTTGCTAAATTATTGAGGCTGGCTTTGAACTCGTGATCCTCCTACATTAGCCTCCTGAGCCGCTGGGATTACGGATGTGTGCCTCCATACCTGGCTCTTATTAGGAATTTTTTAAAAAAATGCATTGAAATCTCTAATCAACAGGCAAACACTGGCAGAATGAATTTTTGAAAAAAGACTCAATACATCAAGACTCATTTTATATTAAAAGTCACAAATAGATTGAAGATGAAAGAATGGAAAAAAGATATTCCATGCAAATCCTTACCAAAATAGAGCTGGTAACTATACTAATGTCAGATAAAATATATTTTAAATAAAAATTGTTATAAAAGGCAAAGAAGGACATCATTGGTTCAACCCCCAGTAGAAGGTAGAAGGAAGAGGAGGAAGGGGAGAGGAGGAGGAGGTGGAGGAAGAGGAGAGGAAGAAAAATTGAAGGGGAAAATGGACAATTTTCACATTAAGACTTGTAGAGTTTAATACTCACTTTCAGTAATGGGAACAGAAGAGAAGAAAACTAGACCTAACAGACTTGGGGCATTCCGCCCAACCAGGCAGAAGACACATTCTTCCCCAGTGCACATCGAACATTCTCCAGGGTAGGCCACATAGGAGGGGAAAAAAAGTCTCAATAAATTTTAAAAGATTGAAATAAAAGTACTGTCTCTGAACATAATGGAATGAAATAAAAAATAAAAACAGAAAGAAACCTGGAAAATTCACTAATTTGTGGAAACACGCTGAAATAACCAATGAGATGGGGCTGGGGTTGTGGCTCAGTGGTAATGTTTGCTATTACATGTGAGGCCCTGGGTTCGATTCTCAGAACCACAWATAAATAAATAAAATAAAGTTTCACTGACAACTAAAAAAAATGTTAAAAGAAAAAAAGTAAAAAAAATGAGATTAAAGAATCAACAGAAATTTTAAAAATACTTTGAGATAAATGAAACTGAAAGCATGACATATCAAAATTTATGGAGCCAGGTGCCATGGTTCAAGCCTGTGATCCCAGCAATTTGGGAGGCTGAGGCAGGAGGATTTCAAGTTCAGGGCTAGTCTGGGCAATTTAGCAAAATGCTGACTCAAAATTTAAAAAAAATAAAATAAAAAGGACTGAGGATATGATTCAGTGGTAAAGTGCCTCTGGGTTCAATCCCCAGTACCAAAAACAAAAAACAAACCCCCAAAATGTATGGGAGATAGCAAGGGCAGTACTTAACAGTGAATTGTATAGCTATAAATGCCTATTTTGAAAAAATCTCAAGTCAATAATGTAACTGTAAACAGGGCAAGGTGGCACACACCTATAATCCCGACGGCTGGGGAGCCTGAGGCAGGAGGATCACAAGTTCAAAGCCAGCTTCAGCAAGATCAAGGTGCTAAGCAACTCAGTGAGAACCTGTCTTTAAATAAAATACAAAATAGAAATAGGGCTGGGGATATGGCTCAGTGRTTGAGTGCTCCTGAGTTCAATCTCTGGTACTCCAAAACAACACCACCACCACCAACAATATCCTAATTGTACACTTTAAGGAACTAGAAAAAAGGACTGAAAGCAAGACCAACAAGAGAAACAAACAAATCGGATTATGTTTTAAAAGACATCATCAAGAAAGTGAAAAGACAATCCATAACCCACAAAGTGGGAAGAAAATATTTGCAAGATATATATTTGATAAGAGACTGTAACTAGCATATATGAGGAACTCCCACAACTCATCAATAAAAGGACAAACAGTCCAGGGCTGGGGTTGTGGCTCAGTGTAGAACGCTCACCTAGCAAGTACAAAGCTCTGGGTTCGATCCTCAGCACCACATAAAAATAAATGAATAAAGGTATTGTGTCCACCTACAACTAAAAAATCAATATAAAAAAGCCAAATAGTCAAATTTATCTAAATAGGCATTTTTTTTCAAAGACATACAGATGACCAATAAGCCTATGATCAGGGTCAGCATTATTAGCAAGGAAATGAAAATCAAAACCATAGTGCAATATCACTTCACACCCACTAGGAGGGCTAAAATTAAAAATGATCACATGATTACAAGTATTGGCAAAGATTTGGAGAGATGAGAATCCTGATACATTGCTGGAGGGACTATAAAATGATGCAGTCATTGGAAAACAATCTGGCAGTTTCTCCGAGGAGAGTTAAACATAAAGTTACCATATGACCCAGCAATTGTACTCCTTGATACATAGGAAGAGAAAGGAAAACGTGACTGCACAAAAACTCACATGCACGTTCATAGAAACATTAATCTCAATAGCTTAGAGGAGGAAGCCACCCAAAGTCCATAAACTGACGAATGGACACACAAAACGGAGTCCATTCCCATCACGGAGTAAAGCCCCGCAAGCCCAGCTCTACCCAGAGTACCGACTCCGGCTGGAACACGCCTCCTGAAAGGAGCCAGTCCTAGAAGGCCACCGGCATGATCCAGAGGATACGGAATGCCTAGAAGGGGCGAGTCCATACAAAGTACAGTACCAGATCCTTACAGAGAGCTTCGGATTTGCCGCATTTGTTTGTTCATATTATTATCATTATTTGGCACTGGGGATTGAACTCAGGGGCATTCGGCCACTGAGCCACATGTATTTTATTTAGAGACAGGGTCTCACTGAGTTGCTTAGCTCCTTGCTTTTGCTGAGGCTGGTTTGAACTCGCCATCCTCCGGCCTCGGCCTCCCCAGCGCTGGGATGACAGGCGTGCGCCACCGCGTTCGGCTTTGTTTTAATTATTTAGGGTCCAGAAAGAGTTGTCACGTCAGACAAGTGAGTTTAAAAATAAAAGCAAATGTCGGAGATTAAGGCAGTAGGTCGCGTTTCAGACTGTGGGAACTTCTGGTCCCCCCCAACCTGTCTTCCCCGCGCACAGGCACCTGGCTGGCCGCTGCAGGAGACCACCCCCGGACTTTGTGCTGGGAGGAGGGCCCAGAGGGGCGGGACCACGCCTTGAGGGCGGAGCTTGGTGGTGGGCGGGTCCTGGGGCGGGGCCAGATGTCCAATGGCAGTCGTGCCCAGCGGCAGGGGAGGGGCCGAGGGGCGGGGCCAGAGCAAGGCAGGGGGCCTGGCCGGCTCCGGGCCGCCCGGGTCCTAGCGCGTCGCCGCTGCTGGGGGCGGGAAGCGAGGAGGCCCGGGAGAGCGGAGGAGCCTAGGTGTCTCCAGCGGAGGTTTCCACAGCGGTTGCGGGAATGTGGTGGGGAGGGTCCGTGAGGGGAGTTCGTGAGGAGGTAGGGTCCTGTGGGAAGGGTCCGGGTCCCTGAAGGGGGAGGGTCCCTGAGGGGGGGAAGGGTCCCGAGGGGGAGAGGGTCCCTGATGGGGGGAGGGTCCCTGATGGGGGGAGGGTCCCGAGGGGGAGAGGTCCCGAGGGGGGAGCGTCCTTGAGGGGGGACGGTCCCCAAAGGGAGAGGGTGCCGAGGGGGAGAGGGTCCCTGAGGGGGGAGGGTCCCTGAGGGGGGGAGGGTCCCGAGGGGGAGAGGTCCCGAGGGGGGAGCGTCCCTGAGGAGGGTTTGTCCCTCATGGGGGAGGGTCCCCGGGGGGGTACGTCCTGAGGGGGGAGGGTCCTGTGGCGGAAGGAAGGTTCCGAGGCGGGAGGGTCCTGAGGGGGAGGGTTCCAGGGACAGTGGGGCCTGGCTCCCGGAGGAGTGGCCCCTYGGGTCTCGGTGGGGGCCGGGTCCTGGATGGGGAGGTCGGGGATAAAAGGATCGCGGCTGCCCCCTGCTGGAGGAGACTGCCCCCACGTGCCGAGGCCGGCCCGAGCAGGAGAGGGAGGGGAGGAGGGTGCCAGCAGCCAGAGCCGGGCAGGCCCCACCCTTTCTGTCCTGTTCGTGCTGAAGCTGTCTGGCCCGCCTGGCTTGTGCCACTCTGACCACCTGTCACCTGCCCAGAGGAGCCAGGTCTGACCGTGGGCAGGAGCCGGTTTTCCACACTGATCTAGCATTTGGACCTCGTTTCCTCTCTCCCTCTGCTACTTCAGCAGCCTCCCAGAGACATCCCAGTGCAGGCTTCTTAGCAAGTCCCAGGCGGCCTACAGTCTAGACTCCTGTCCTGGCTTTACCTCCCAGGTAGGAGTGGGCCGCCAAGATCTGAAACTCGTGGCACCTGTTTCTTCTTGGTGAAGTTAATTTGGCCAACAACCAACATTTACTGAGTTCTGGCCACACAGATTGCTCCCTCTGACCACACAGTTGTACCTTCTGGCTTGCTTGGAAAATGATTCCCAGCCACCTGGTCCTTGAGCCTTTCCAGATCTCTAGTACACTGTCCTCTTTATTTTTTCTCCTCTGTGACAACCTTCCTTACCTCCACCTTCCTCTCAACAGCATAGTCTGAAATGTGCCTACGCTCTGGTAGGACTGGCCTCAGTACTCCATCTGCCTGCTGCCCCYAGGCCACCAATGCTGTAGAAGGTACAAGTTGGTGTCTGCTGCCTTTGTAGACTTGATAGATAACTAATGCCATTTAGTCCACTGTGTAGTCAGACGACTTCCCATGTTCCCCTCCCAGTCCTCTTTCTTTTCATCTTCACTCTATTTCAGACTTTCCCCACCAGTGGTCTTAGAGAATGACTTTTTTTTTTTTTTAACAGAGATCACTGAAGCCAGAAATCCTCAGTTCCCACAGTCCCTGACCTTCTGACGCTCCCCTTCCCACCATTTACACTGATGTTTCCCTTCCTTCTCTTCCAGGACAGTGGAAGAGATGCTCTTCCTTCAGTCAAGGGCATCTCCTGTAAAATACCCTTTTGTCTTGTGTATTTTCAAACATTCTCTCCTGGTTCCTTCAGATCTCTGCCAACTTGAGCTCTACATCCCATGCCCCTCTCCAGCTGCTACCCTCTCTCTACCCAGCTTCCAGCTCCCCTGTTCCCCCAAAGCCAAACTTCCTTAAGTGCCACCATCATTTTTTCTCACCATTTTCTTATTCTTTACCTCACTCTGTTTGACTTTTTCCCAACTATAATGGGGTTGAAATGACTTTCACCAAGGTCACGATGCCATGTCATTGTTTACTAAAAGCTGTAGACATTTTAGTATTTTTCTTTCTTGACTTCTTGACTTGTACCCTGTTGACACTTGGTCCCCTCTGAAGCTGTCTCTTGACTTCTATGGCATTAAACTTTTGAAGTTTCCTTTGCCTCTCTGAATGCTTCCTTGACAATATCTCTGTCTGTCCTTATTCAAGACTGTTCCTCAGAGTCATTCAGTCCCTGCTGCCTCCTTTAGCATGAAAGAGTAGGTTTTATTCAAGTGAGAAGAAAAGAGATGGAGCTCCCACAAGATGAGAAGGGATCCAAAAGGGGTTGCCCCCTCAGTTTCTCCTTGCAGTATACTCTCTTCCCAGATGGTCTCACTCCCTCTTGTGGCTTCAGTTATCAACAACTCTTGGGGTTTTTGTTTGTTTGTTTGTTTTTGCAGTATTGGGGATTGAACCTAGAGCCTCATACATGATAGGTAAGTGCTCTACTACTGAGCTACAGCCCCAGCCCAGCTCTTGAATCTTTTGTGTCTAGTGCTGATCTCTTCTCTGAGCTTCAGGCTCATATTACCACTGTCTCAAGTGGATGTCATAAAATCAGTTTGTCAAAAATACAGCTCATTGTTTTCCTTTAAAATGCATTTGCTTTTTTAAGGTTTACCTCTAGCATTTTCAGGGCCATGGGCAGGAACACTAATGGAAGCCTACATATCACATTTGGAGTAGTTGAAAGCACTCAAGCTAAATTATGTTATGGTTTCTTACTCAGACACATAAACTTTTCTAACAACCCGGAAGGTCATATTTGAATTTAGAATTCTTGTGCTTTCTGGAGTGCTGGAGTGCTGGAGTGCTGGGCCAGGATGTGGTAGCTTAGGGAAAGCTGACTCCCTGACCCCAACCCTCATTCTGCACTTTTCTCTTCCCTTCTGGGTTTGGCCCTACAGTACAAAGGGCCTGGCACATATGCTTTTGAACACCCAAAGTCCCTGTGTCCAAGCTCTGCTCATAACCTCCCAAGCTGCATTTCCTTCTCTGTTACTCTTGAATGGGGTTGACTCAGAATCCTGAACCAAGCACAAGGGAGAAGAAGGGTTGACCCAGAAAGAGGAATTGAAGATTGAGTTCATGAAAGCGATTCAAGAAAAAGATTCATGACCCCATGAAAAAGGTTCATCACAGGAATGGGTTTGGGAACCAGGCAGGGTAAGGAAGTGGCTAGAAGAAGATGCCCTGAGGCAATTATAAAGATCTATCTTGGCTGGATCTAGGGATGGCAAGTTCCACATTCTCAGCAAGTGACATCATACATTTTCAAGTCATCTTAGCTGGGAAAGCAACAAATATTGGATGCTCTCCTTATCCTCCCTCAAATCCAAGCAGTTAGGTTTTCTGTTTTCTTAATAACTTGAATGGATTTCTCTTCATCTTGAAGTTCATGCTATCATCTCCCACCTAAGTGATTGCAACAGCCTGAGTCTAACCTGTCTCCTTGCCTTGGTCTTGTTTCCCTAGAATCCATTTCTCCATAGCAACTGGAATGATCTTTCTGAGTACAAATGTGATTACTCCATTAGAAAGCACGAGTTTCTGCTTATTGCCTTTAGGAGAAAGTCCAAGCTCTTTAGCATATCATTCACAGTACTTGGTGATCTGACCCCTGCTCACCTCTCTAACTGCATTGTTCAGCTCTTCCTGGTTCCTAACACATATAAATTACCATGCACATACTCCCCAAAATGAACAGCCATATAAATTCACATAAACAATACACATTCACACTGTCAGAGATGAGGCATATATGAACTTGAACACCCACACCACATACATTCCCACACTGTAATATAGTAGCTCACAAATATACACGCTTATAACCTTRTGCGTACATGCATTTACAACATACTCTGAAAGCTCACACACCACATTCTGTCACGTACTCCTGCATATTTTCCACACACATTCGTACACAATCACATATTCACACCCTGTATACCTCAGTCACTCATACACCCACACCACAAAACTTAAGTACCACATACTCTCAGACCATGCATGCTTACACGGTCGGACCTTTAACCATACTCATCTAGCTCTTATTCCTGCAACCTCTAGCACCAGGCCTTTTTTCAAGCTGGTCTTTCTTCTGGAAAGCTTCTTTCTGCTTTCACCAGCTATCTGGGTTGCTTTCCTGCAGAAAGCCTTTCCTGAACCCGAAGCTTGGAAGATCTGAAGGATTCCCTTTAGAATCAAACCCAAGGCTTACTTGTTTAGTCTGGAAGTAAGAAACTAGAGTTTAGCCTCTTAAACTGAGGTTTCTTAAATGTACTTCTCCCAAGCGTATTATTTTTGTCACCCTGTCTGTTGTCTCATAGTCCTTAATGGTACAAAATTTAAAACAGGAGGGGCCTGTGTAGGGTGGTCACTATAGAAATGAAATTCCAGCTGGATGGCAAGGAACCCAGTGGGTAGGAGGAAGGGGAGTAAGACTGCAGGGAAGTGACCGCAGACCTGCAGGGCTTTTGTGTCTTGATGCATTTGCCCAGCTTTTCAGAAGTGTGTCTAGTTTGGAGTGAGTCAAGTTCTAGGGATTTGTTTAGCCTGCAGGATCCTCCGAGGGGATCTTTACTTCCAGTGGAGTGTTGAAGCTGTGCAGTGGGTAGGCTGGCAGCGTCTGAAGTACAGGGATTGACGTGAATCAGGGCGGGGGTTGAATGACCCAGCTCGGGAACTCAGGAAGAGGGCCTCAGAGGAGGATTATTAGTCTCAAATGTCATGCAGAGGTGGAGAAGGATGTGGCACCTAGGAGGCCACCCACAGCCTTTCTAGAACAGCAGCATTTGGAGTCTGTTGCCAAATTGTACAGGCTTAAATAGGCAGAGAACAGAAATCAAAGTCCTCCTCTCAGGGAAGGAGGACTCATGTCATGTCTGCTGATGAACAGAGGAGAGTGCCAGGTAGGGAGGGCAAGGTACAGTCCCAGGACAGAGCAAAGGTCACTGCAGGGGTGAGTGGGCTCTGAGTGCATGTGGAAATTCTACATTGGACAGGAAGGAACACAGCTTCCTCCAGGACAGGAAGGATATTGTAGGGAGGGAAGTGAATGTAACAGCCACCCGTGTTTTATCATCTGCTTCCACTTTGGTAACCTCTACCAACACAGGCTGTTAGCCACAGACTCCTATGGCCACCCCCCACCACCACCACCAAATTCTCCCTCTGGTATCTTCAGTGCTGAGCATTTTTTGCTCATAGCTTTCCATTCTTTTAGCTCTCCCTCCTCCATGTCACCACACTCAGTTCTGTGGCCTCTATCGCCTCCTGGCCTCTGAATACCTGCCACCCCCACCACAGTCTCCACATAGGCCTAGCCCAAGGATCATCACTTCAGTTGCTTTTCTGTGAACACCTGCAACTTCTTCGCTTGTTCTTCTGTCTCACCCTACTCTGTACATTTCCAGCCCCATGCTAATAATTACCAACCTCAGGCTTCAGTCCTGTTTTCTCTCCAAAGCTTCTAGATGTGGGTTGTTAGGTGCTTCCTAGCCATTTCTAACTGGAGAGTAATGGGGTGCTAATGATGAGGGTTGGGGTAGGCTGAGGGCTAGAGTTGGGGGTCAAGGGTGGGAAGGCYGAAGGTTCATTACATACTGGACCCAGCAGGCTAGCACAGTTGGATTCCAGAGCTGGGAAATTCATGTCTTGCAGTGCTGCTTGGAAGTTGGTTGAGGGGAGGAATGCCTACTCTTAAGTGAGTAGAATCGGGACCTAGTTTTGCCTTTTCGTTCCTATGGTCCTGTGTGCTCACGCTCCCTTCCTTCACTTAGTAGGGCCAATGTCCCCAAGTTTGTTACTATCTGTGCCTTCTCTCCATAGTTCCTGAGACCCCAAGCACACTGAGTCTCTCCTCACTCAGCAGCCTCACCATTTCCTTCCCACTGTCCTTGGACCCAGGCCTCTTATAGTTACCCTGGCGTTGGGAAGGACTTGCTGCCATCTCTCCAAGCCCACTGGTGAGCCCACTGATGTTAAGGCCGCCTGCCTGAGTCTTGATTGCAGACTTGAGCTCCTGATTCTCCCGAATGAGCCGCACCAGCTTCTTCAGTTCCTCATTCTCCCGCACCAGCCTCTCTATCTGATGCCGAAGCCCCTCATAATTGGTGAGTAGAGACATGCCCCAGGGCAGCAGGGAGGGTGCTGCCCACAGGAGGGCACTGCACCTGGAGGCTGCCCAGGGCCCCGGGCCTTGCCCGGGCTGGAAGAGGGTGCCAGAGTCTGCAAGGCTGGCCCAGCGGGCCCTGGGTATTGTGAGGTCAGAGGTTGTGCTCTCCTCCTGTCCTCTACTCTAACAGGCTCAGCTTTCCATGCTGCCAGGCCTGTGAACGGCTCTACCTTGACCTGGAATGTCCTGTCTCCTTCTTTTTGGTAGCTTCACTCTCAAGATGCCTCCTCTGCAAAGCCTTCTTTCCCCCACTGCCAGCTAATTGCTGCCTGCTGGGCTTCCCCAGCAGATGTGTCCTGTATCATAGCACCTGCCCTGCTTCTGCGCTGTTAGCTCCTTAATGCTGTATTTACTGGCTTTATGGTGTGAACAGAGATCGTGCCACTCCTCTGGAGTCCCCAGCATCCAGCAAAGGGCCCAGCTTAGTGTAGGTAGATAACCAATGAATGTAAAATGAAAACTCATCACTTGCCTTCCTGGGCAGATGACCTTTCTTTATGATCTTGGGCATGCCTGGATTTAGCCCATCAGCTTCTACCTGAGCAGGCTCTGCCTTGGATGCCTTGCCATAGTTTCTTCTGTCCCCAGGTGCTCAGAACCCTTCTCTGGATGCTGGCCTAGGGGCTCCCTCATCCAAGTACCTGGCTCCCTACAGCTTGGTGTTTCCATTTCTGGACTCTTATCCCAAATCCCTGGAGGTAATTCCTCCACATCTGACTCTCTACTCCCCAGCTCCTTGAATTTTCCTGACTTTAGTTGTTTAAGAACCCAAGACCCCTAAACGCAGTGCACATGCCTGTAATCCCAGAGGCTCAGGAGGCTGAGGCAGGAAGATCATGAGTTTAAAGCCAGCTTCAGCAATTTAGTGAGGCCTTAAGCAACTCAGTGAGACTCTGTCTCTAAATAAAATACAAAAAAGGGCTGGGATGTGGCTCCGTGGTTAAGAGCCCCTCAKTTCAATTGGTGCTACCCAACCCCCCAAAAAACCAAACCAAACCAAACAGTATTACTTACCCGGTTTCAAGAACTCAGGACTCTGAGCCCTCCTTATAGCTATCCCTTCTCTTAGAACTATCCACAGAGAGCTCCAGGAATCTGACCTTGGGAGTTGAGGGAGGGTGTGTCTTCATGATCTCCACTGGCTCTATGGGTGTCTTTTGACAAACCTCTTCATGGGGCAGGAAGAGGTACAGGCACAGGCCAGTGAGCAGACTCCTGGAACGTCGTGGAAGTGAAGAAGCCGGAGATGAAGCAGTGCTGCCATCAGTGTGAGTTGAGCATTCTACCTGAACCTCACAATGGGGGGCCTACCCCATACTCTGACACTCCTGAGTGTAATTCCAGCTGAGTCTCTCTGACCCCAGGCATTCTTTTCCTTCTTTCTAACTTGATAGAGTATCTCTGGTCATGAAAATTGGCTTCTCCTTAGGCTGATACAGTTTATAATGGTTTCATGAGTGTCAGTTTGGGTAGGCTGTGTGCTCAGGTGTTTAGTCAAATGCTAGTTTAGACATGTTATAAAGGTGTTTTGCAGATGTAATTAACATCTACAAAATGTTAGCTTTAAGTAAAGGTTACTTTCAATTGTATGGGTGGACCTCATCCAATCAGTTGAAGGACTTAAAAGCAAAAGTTTTAAGCCCAGAAATAAAGAGTTCTGTCTTGGGCTAGGGTTGTAGCTCAGTGGTGGAACAATTGCCTCGTGTGTGTGAGGTACTGGGTTCAATCCTCAGCACCACATTAAAAAAACTCAATAAAACAAATAAAGATATTGTGTCTATCTACAACTAAAAAAAAGAGTTCTATCTTGAGACGTTTCCAGTCTGCCCTACAGATTTTGGACTTTCCAACCTCCACTATTGTATGTCAATTAAAATAAATGTCCTAAAATAAAAGGATTCTGATTGATACACCATCTTTTTTTTTTTTTTTTTTTTTTTGGTAGCAGTGTTTTTTCCCTCCAAAAACATGTATATCACCAGTTGTGTTAGGAATTGGGACCAGTGCCAGTCATCACAGGCCTTGTTCTTGTCTGATCAAACTTACAGAACATAAACTGAACATTCACAATGAACACATGTGGGTGTAGAGTCACCTTTGTGATGAATGCTGCTAAAGGTGGCACTGGTGCTTGGAAGGGGAACAGTGGGTGGGTTGGATGCAGTTGTATGAGGACAGCCTTCCCTGAGGAGGTGACCCTTGAGATGCTGTGAGGGAGAATATCAGTGGGGAAGAGCTTTCCAGCAGAGGGAAGAGCCTGTGCGAGGCCTAAGGGGTGCTCTGCCAAAGGAGAGAGGACATATGTACCAGAGAAGGATGGAGTGCAGCTCACCACAGGACTGATGCTGATCTGCATCCTGAGCGCCTTGAGAAATCCTGGAAGGGTTTTAAGGAAGCGGGTGGGGAGGGACTGGAGGGAAAGAGCTGCGGAGTGGTATGCCACTGCAGTCCTCCAGGCACGTGATGAGAGCAGTCTAAATGCAATTGGTGCCACAATGGAGATGAGAGAATGGCAAGGCAGAGGGACAGTGGTACTAGATGGAATGGATTTGGGGATGGTGAGGGTGAAGGCAGGGATAGCCTTATAGCTACTGGCAAGGGCAGTGGACACACTGGTTATACCAACCCAACAGCGGGGAAGACCAAGTTCAGAGCAGAGATCCTGAATCAAGTTTGATCATGGAGATCAGAGAAGGAGCTGGGGGTCTGTGCACCAGGTTCTCAGAGTAGAACCTGCTGTGTGGCTGGAAAGATACATTTTGAAGTTATCAACTTCTAGATGCATCTGAAGATTTGCAAGGGGATGAGGTCACCATGAATCAGTAATGAAGCAGAGAGAACAGGTCTTAGGCCCAAGTGCCTGCAAAGCCCATAGGGTGGAAAAGCCCATGAAGTGGGCAGAGGACCTGAAGAGCTGGCTGAGGAAGCCACGCACAGGGGCTATTTCAGGGTTATGAAGCAGCAATACTATCTAAAGCTCTGGGAGGCCAGATGAGAGGAGACTGAAAAGTGCATCTGCCCTGGTGACGTGGAAGTCATCAGTGCTGTCTGGGCAGAGTGATTTGGCCAACTCCAGATCAACAAGTCTGGCAAGCTAGTGGGAAGGTAAGGTAGAGATGGGGGCCCACCCAACCCTTCCCAGGGGTTTGGTTGTGCTAAAGGGAATGTGGAGAGGACTGTTGCAGATTCTTCCTTTAGCATACCTTTCCTTTCTAGCAGCCTGGTGCCAGGGAAGACTGTGGGGGCTTCTACCTGGCCTCCATGCCTCTACCTTCCCCAGCCTCTTCTGAGTCGCAATGTATAATGGAGGTCCTCCCAAAACTCCCAGACTCCCCCCAAAATGTTCAGTTACAACCTCCTGTCGTGTCTCACATTTATCTGCTCTCTACTCTTTTGTTTTTTTWTTTATTTATTTTTTTTATTATTTTTTTATTTTTTAGTTATCCGCGGACACAGCATCTTTGTTTGTATGTGGTGCTGAGGATCGAACCCAGGCCACACGCATGCCAGGTGAGCGCGCTACCGCTTGAGCCACATCCCCAGCCCTACTCTTTTGTTTTAATATTATTTTTTAGTTGTAGTTGGACACAATATCTTTAATTAATTATTATTTTTAAAAATATTTATTTTTTTAGTTATAGGTGGATACAATATCTTTATTTTATTCTTATGTGAGGCTGAGGATTGAACCCAGTGCCTCATGCATGCAAGGCGAGCGCTCTCCCTCTGAGCCACAATCCCAGCTTTTATTTATTTATTTTTATGTGCTGAGGATTGAATCCAGGGCCTCGCCCCTGCTAGGCTAGTGCTCTACCGCTCAGCCACAATTCCAGCCCCTCTCTCTAATCTTATTTGCTCTTTATTCCAGTTTTCTTATCATTAACTTTATTATGGTATATCCTTTTGTATCCAAATCTATGGGTCTGATTTGTGATAGGGAACAGCAAAAGTTTAAAGTTTATCCACATCCATTTGGATAATACATTTTAGGGTGAGAGTCTGGGGAGTGGGAGGTACTGGACTTCCCTGTTCTGTCTTCAGTCTAGCTCATGTAGGTGTTTGGACAGAGTCACTTGGGAATGAACCGGGGTTCTTTTGTGGGAGGCAGGGGCAGGGAGGTTCTGGGGATTAAACTCAGGGGTGCTTTACCACTATAGAGCTACGTCCCTAGTCCTTTTTATTTTTATTTTGAAACAGGGTTTTGCTAAGTTGCTGAGGGTCTTGCTAAGTTTCTGAGGCTGGCCTTGAAGTTGTGATCCTTGTGCTCAGTCTCCCAAGTTGCTGAGATTATAGGAATGTGCTACTGCACCTAGCTGGGCCAGGACCTCCCTTGAGTACAGGGAGGTTGTACTTGTAGGAGTGATAGGAACCTCCAAGGATCCACTCAGGGTTTACATKCCTCACAGTTTCCTTAGTAACTTTCTACTAACAAACCTCAGTATTGTCCCACTTGCTTATACTGAGTCAGATCTACTTATTCTGGTCTTGGGTCATTGGTTTTTGCAGTTTGTCCCCATTCAAATTTGCTTTTTTTAAAAAAAATTTTAATTAATCTCAGCCTTCCAAGTTGGCAAGGCCTTCAGAAGGATCTTTGCTTTGCCTTGGTTGCTGACAAGGAGAGGGATTTGTCCAGTCTGGACTCCCACTGGCCCTTGACTGCCAGTGTTGTCCTGTACATCTGGGCAACTCCTTTCTACCCCCTCACTTATACTTCAGATAATGAAAAAGTAATGGCTGACATTTACTGAGTGCTTGTTATATGCAAAGGCACTGTTTTCACCATCCTAACAACCCATGAGGCAGAGTGCCTCATGCAACAGGTAAGGACAGAAGGACAAAACCAGGTTTTCCCAACTGTCAAGGTCAGTACTTGATGCAGGCAGCATCTTCTTGATTCTAGTTGTCCTCTTTTGCTGCACAGCTCCAATAGAGAATATAATTTTTTGTTTTGT